GAACAGCCACGGGATCCAGGGGGAGTTAACTCACGCAACTAGAAGTTTCATGAGCTCCTTCGAGCGACGGGATAGTGAAGACTCTTAATTATATGAATAAGCCTCTGGTTCACTTCCATGCGGTTCTGCTCCCTTCCGACCCGTCAAATATGCGCAAGACCGCCATCCTTGAAGAGGAAATCATGTGAATAAGAGTAATCATTTTTCATATAACCAGTAAAATCTCTCGAACTGAAAAATCACTCAATTTAGGGATGGGATTGCACCACGTTTACGACACGCACGTGCGTTTTTTTAAGTACCCTATAACTGAGTTATATTTTCAACATAAAAATGTATATAGATTTCAAAGCGGGGAACATTATATTAATTTAACAAGATTAATGTGATGTCGGCGATCATGTTTGACGACTTTTGGACCGAGGTAGGGATTTTTGCAGAAGAAAACAAGGCAGTTCCTGGTGACTTCTTCGACTTTGCCTTGGCATTGCATTGAGTCAGTGTTGACGTTAGTTTTAATCCTGTTTCATCACGTTAATCTTCCAATAAGCTGTCGAGCTGGCGCCCTCTATTCCAGACGGACGGTACCTTTGGTCGATTTACACTCACCAGTTTTTGGTTTTTTTTCCTTAAGTGTTTTGTCACGCATAGTACAAAGCAAAAAATGGATATAGACAAGAAGTGCAGAACCCAAAAATTGTTGTGGCATTTTATTCAAGAAAAGCTTTAAGCCCTTATGAAACGGAGAGGTATAGAGGTTTTGCAAGTTTAACTGGCACGATGCACAAGCGCGAACAGCTAAGATAGATGCGACAAAGCTGTACATTATAAAGCACCCCATGCATAGATACTAAATATATTTGGAGGCATATCTTGTATCACCCTCCTAGAGAACATACTGATTGGATATTGTTTGATTGTAGTATATTAACTTAGGTTCGTTGGTCTCTTAAGAACAGAACAAAAAATGTTCAATGCGCCTAAACTCAGATTGTCCTTTTTTTGCGAATGCAAGACAAAAGAGGCTTGAGCTGAGAAGACGAGAAGCCGGCGGAGAGAAAACGTCGAAGAAAACGTCCTCCAGTTGGGGAACGGAGGGAGGGGGCTAGCTTGGGACAGGGAATTGGGCATTTAGAAGTGGGGATACCTAAATACCCCCCCATCAAATCTCCCGACTCATCATATTGTGTAATCTCGTTTGCGGTGGAAGTCCATAATACCCTTTTATGTCCAATATTTCGGCTTGATAAGGTGGTCTATCCCATTATCCTAGAATATCAATAAGATTACAGAACGCCTCATTTAGCATCTTTGATCAGTAGTCCGGAAAAATGTGTTTGTGCACGTTCCCTCTAAGGAATAGTTGCGGTCTCAATTATGAATTTTATGTTCAATGTCAGTATACCGCTCTTGGATTAAACCCTCCTTAGAATGCATTGCATAAAAGAACTCGTTCGAAAGATAGTTTTGCTGTAAACTGTAGTTCTTTGTGAATGTTAAACCTGCATGCTTGCAATCATAACCTCCCCTAAAGTAAGGAATTTCTGTCACTTAAAGCGAGTCGATCGGGCAGATAAGTTCTTAGTTAGGTCACTGTATATTACAGTCTTAAATATAACCAGACGTCTGTACAGTAGTTCTCTACCTCAACTAACTTCTTGTCAACCGAAAAGTGTTTTGATAATTACTCCACAAGTTCGTTAACAGTTTGAAGAATAAATTCGTGTGTTTGTGATTTTTTTACTTGAAACACAATTTCGTTATTGTCTTAACTTGACAGCTGTTATTTCTTCCCTCGAGCTCCTACAAATGAAAGCGAACCACAAAATATCTGGAGGATAAAATTCTGGCTTCAGGAATCCTTGCTAGTGTCGATTTACAACAGTTTTTGAGGCTTCAGGCTTTTGCTGTAGCTAACAGGGAATATCTGTTTACCTTGTAGAAAAATCCTCTACTTAGATCTAAATCTCTTAGATCTCATTATTGCACAAGATTTGTTAATTAATCTGAAGATTTATCTATTTTATGGCCTTTATCCCTGGTTTCATCAGCTTACTTACCACAATCGCGATACACACTCGCAACAACTGTCCCTTTGTTGCCTGATTTAGAAGCTCATATGCTAAGCCGTGATCTTGTAAATTTGAGCCATTTCCGGACATGGAGAGAGTTCAGCTTGGGAGTCAAGCTGTATTTATCGGCTATAGATTGTAAAGCCCAACAGCAACCCGAAATTAGTAAGTATGGTTAATCTCACTAACTGATTTCCCTGTTGATAAATTCTTGATGGATTTAACGTCTCCTTTACACTCCGTGATGGCGGTTTGATGTTCCTCGGAGAGGAGAGGCTTCATAACCAGCGTCGTAATTTGTCAATTGTTAAACCTTTTTCGGGAACTTTTTTTTGTGTATTATTACATTCGTATTTTTGGTTGATTTTAATTTCACTGCTACCTTGAAAAATATTATCAAGTTTTCTTCTACTTGAATGCCCCTTTGTTCTCACAGAAGCTTAGTCAGAATGACTCCCAATTATGAAGAGAGTGGGTGTTTTGTGTATTTTTTACAATAAGCCTGTAAAGAAACTTTTAACCCTTCAACTCCCATAAGTGACCAAGACAGAATTTCTCCTTACGTTATCGATACGACATCAAGCAGACAAGTGATAAGATTGACTCTATCACAGTTGATCCAATATCATATTCTCCGGACTAACATCGTCAGAATTGTATGGCAGAAAGCCAGGAGAATTAATAAGATCTTGGGAGTGACTAACAGGGTTAATAGAAAAACGTGATCTCGGTAATTCAAGAAATTTATCGGTGTTCCAGGCAAGCTTTTACAGATTTATCAGTCTATAGCTATCAAAATACTATTTTGCGGACTCAGATTTTCTTTTAGTGGGTTTTTCCAACCTCTATACAAGCCATATAACTAACTATTGGTTACTAAAGATTAACCCTTTAACTCCCATGAGTGACCAAGACAGAATTTCTCCTTACAATGTCAATGCAATATCAAGCAGACAAGTGATGAGAATAAAGAAAAACATCAATTGAGGGATCATAAGTTGATCCAATACCAAATTCTCCCAACTAACATCACAAGAAGTGTATGGCAGACAGTAAGGAGAATTACTAATGAGATCTTGGGAGTTAAGTGAATTCCTCCGCATAGCCTATGCATGCTGAGATACACAAACCCATGTACCTTTTACGACACTACCCTGGTCCCTAAACTGACCGCTATGATACTAAAATCATGCTTTGTTTAATAGTAATACATCATTACAATTGGTTGAGAACTCACAATGCTTGGCATACAAACTATAGCATTTAGGAAATCGTACAAACCCTTGTATCTTTTACGACACAACCCTGGTTCCAAAGCCCTAAATTAACCGCCAGGATGCTACAATCATGCCTTGTTTAATAATAATACTTTATTACAATTAGTTGAGAACCTACAATTATACTTGTGGGAGTACTAGTGGGATACAAACGATGGTCGAGGAACTTTCAGGATTTAGCGCACAATTTCTTGAACTCTTCATTTTTGGCTACCGTCTCAGAAATACGTAATTGTATACATTCATTTTCGTTTTTCATGTCATATATTTCTTTTTTTACTTCGACAAGCAGTTTTGTTTCCTGAACGATCTTTTCCTGTATACTACGAAGACCTTCGTGTAAACTGTGATCGTAAGTTTTGTTTATTTCTTCCATTTCCCGTTCATGTTGGATGCGTTTTGAATCGATGCTCTTCCGCTCCGAACTTTGCCTCTCTCTCATAGCCTTCAAGCGAATATCGTATACTTCTACTTCTGCCTTTAACATGTCCGCTTCTTTTTTCGTCTCTCCATGTTCACCTGCGCAATTTTTACCCTCCTTGTTTATGTTTTCGGAGTCTTTCCTCTCTTTCTCAAGCATGTTCCTTTTGTTCTCGAGTTCGCGTATCTTAATGGCTATGACAGGAAAAGGGGCGCGCATGGTCGGTTCGAAATTCTCTAACCAATTTTTTCTTTTTTCTTCCTCCTCAACCCGTTTTATCTCGTTTATTTGCTCTTTTAAGAAGTGTGCAAGATTTTTCATTATAGTCCTTTCTTGTTCGTACCCCGGAAAATCTCCAAACACGGGTGTCTGAAGGTCTTCGCACAAAAGTTCAAGTGCCTTGACTTTGGAATAACTCGTTGAAAGGTGTTTTATATGGTTAATTTTAGCAATTATTTCTTTTTGCGCCTGGCTGGCTTCTTCTACCTGTGGACTTCCTTCCTCCTTTTGCTGTTTCTCTACTCTTTCATCCGGTCCGAATAATGCAGAGTTCACAAACCATTTATTCTGTCTCTGTCGCGATGGCGTTAATTTTTTATTGTTCACCCGAGTCGTCGCTGGTTGAAACTGAAATGTGGCCCTACTTGGAATCCTTTCTCCACATATTTGACCATTTCCCTGAAACTGAAATGTCCCAACCCGTGGCGTAAAAAGAGGAGGGCCTGGAAACTGCGCATGGACGCTGCCAATCTGATTTGGTGTCGGATTTAAGTGCAGATTAGTTCTCGGATGTTGCACTGCATTCGGATTTGTTCCTGCCGTGCGTTGATTTTGGAACCAAGGGATTCCCATCTGCCTGGGGAGAAATGGATTCGTTGGAGATGGTTGTGGGAAACGTTGATTAGTTCCCCAATATTGTGGGGTTTGGTTATGAGTTCCCGGATGATACGCGTTGTTCTGATTTGACCCTGCGGGTTGCGTTCTGATTGTCAAGTTGAGGTTTCCCATTCTCTGATTACAACTTGTTGGGATACGACGAACATCTTTCTCATGTCGCTGATATGTGAGTCTTGAGTTCATGAATAAGCTAGAAACAAAGTAAGTTTGTGTAATTAATGCTCAACATCGAGATTGTTCGGAAGAACTACATGATGTAAAATGAGGTAGAAAAACTGCAAGTAACATGCATGCTGGATTACAAAGTTCATGAAACGGTAATAGCTTCAAGCCCAAAAAAGGTTTTAAAGGCAGCAAAGTTAACTTTATAAGTAACGGAAGGGAGGGGGTGGCTGATTTGGAAAAGTTGTCAAGCAAGCAGATTTGTGCATGAGAAGTTTAAAAGGAAGTTAGAAAAAGAAGAAAGATTCCCACCGGTACCAAGAGATTGTAACCCTCTGATAATACCAGACCGTCTATCATAGGTTAGCAAACGCCAGTTAAAGAAAATATTAGTTTTTCAAACATTTTTTATTTATATCCCCCGACTTGTCTGACTTCCTTCCGGAGCAAAGTGCTCCAACATTAAGGACCGGATGTACTTCAGGTCAGGTTCATCCAGCAAGTTAGGTCAAGAGAGACCACAGTCTGATCGCATGAATAAAGGATCTTTAATTCACAGTCATAGCTCATGGCAAAAACATTGACACAGCTAAAGCCTGAGTCGAACAGTTATCTATTTGCTTTTCAGCTGCACTTAAATTCATGATCAAATAAAGTTTATGTATCATGTATGTAATTGTTAACCCGCTTTACGGTGAGTGCATCCCTAAGCTTTAGCCCATGACATCTACTTTACTGAGTAGGAGCAACAGGCGTGAAATTATCTTCGTTTGGTAAGAACAACCAAAGTGTACTTTCAGCACATTGAAGCTGGCTCAGATTTCATAAGTCACACTTAAGTTACCTGCTCCTTTAAGTTCTCCCGGTGACTAGCTGCGCAGGTGCGGTTTCAACACCTCTAAGCTTTTTGCACAACAGGTGAAAAGAGACCGCGCTGTACTGATCAATTGCTAAGGCGTGTTTGTCCTGGGTGGCAAGTTTCAATTTTCCAGAGCCACATTTTCTTCGCTTATAAACCAACAAGAAAACAAAAGATCCTCATGAAGTTGCCAGGAAAACGATCTAAGCCTCAGGATCTACTCCATGTCCACATGTGTTATATACCTTTTCGACAGTTGAGGACTTGAAGGACCGTAGATAAACGTAACGTACCCAAAACAAACTTTTCAAATCCAACCCGATAGTTTCAGGAAACCAGCTATTAACAAGGATCCCAACTTACCTCAAAGATTGTGATCAATCAGTAACCAATGCCACTTCTTTAGAAGGGGTTTCACTTTGTTTCCAGTTGTGGTCATACACACTTGCTTTCCGAGTGTCGTCATAGTAAGAGATTCAAATTTTAACGGCACGCGCCAAGTTTGCGCGCGTGTTATTGGTGATTCCTAAAGTTTCTCTGTGCACCTGGACGCGCGCATAGCAGCACGTAAACATTAACGCAAATGCTCGCACGTGCGCAATTAGTTACGAAAGATGGTGGCCTGCTACCGCTAACAGGTTGAAATGCGATAGAATTGCCACTTCTAGAGACTCAGTGATCGATTAGTTTGCTCGCTTTTACATTCTTTCGGACTCGAAAAAATAAAAACATACATCAACATATTGGTACTATTATTTATTGATGTGGTAGCAGTTTCTGTCCGAGGAGGGTAGTTCCATTTAAATGGCTGCGATAACTTATGTTCGTTAAGCAAAAGTTGTACTTCAATATGATTATAAATTACCTTCTTAGTTATTCTTCTTCGAATTACGACAATATTTTTTAACGTTTTCCTGATACAGTTTACTAGTTTGTAAAGGTCGTTATCTTCTAAGCATAATCATGTAACTGATTGGATTTCAAGTGAGTAATTACACCATTTGAGAAATATGTAGATAGTCAAATGCTGGTGCTTAATGATACCCAGCGAGTCAGTTTAATCCCCACATGAAGCAAACCAGTATATTGATACTGAATTTTACCCCCATTTAAGATTTACTTCCCTTAACTTTTAGCATATCATAAACAACAGCAACATCTTGCATACCATAAACAACATCTTGAGCTAAGAGTAAAACTAAAAACCCAACAAGAACTAAGCCTCCATGGAAATCTTTGGAAAAATATCAGGAAAAGCGTACGTTCATTTTCTAGCGAGTAAAATCGCATATCAGCTTCTCCAAAACAGGATCTTTCTAGCCAGTTTTCTCACTGTAAGGTTTTTTCTCTCCTAGAAATTGGACTGGGGTACTCCATCAACAAAACAAAACATCATTTCCACGCAAGCAAAGAGCAAAAGAACCCAGGCTCCGCACAACGAAGATTGTGTCCTTCCACTTTAAATAACACTCTCTTAATAGGCGACTCCAGCTTAAGGTGGATGTCACACAAAAGTGTTCCGAAAAATAGATACACATGTCCGTGGAGAGCATTCAACATGATACTCTAAAGGCGTGAACTTAATCTTGAAGTGTTTCATATGCTTTTAACAGATTTCATGTCTTTGTCTAATCTAGTGCTGAGAGCCTAACATGGAAGGTAAAATTAAATTAAAAATAACGGCGCAATAATTTATTAGAGGTATTGTCCGATTACAGAATCTTCTTTGTTTCGTCGTTGACTTCTTCGCTGCTTTCTTCTTGACTAGCTTTGTCTTCCTCCTTGGTATCTTTCTCAGGGTTGTCCTCGTACCTGTAATGATGTAGACACGTATGAGTCGTGTTACACACAAAGAGCGTGTTTTGATCGAATATTACAAAAAAACAATAATAAAAATAATAATAATAACAATAATAATAATAATAATAATAATAATAATAATAACAATAATAATAATAATTGAACATTGAACATTGAACATTGTGACTTTGAGATCGAAAAAGAACAAGCTGGATTTAGAGAATAGTTTTTGGTTTTTTGTGTGTTTGTTTGTTTGTTTTTTAGAATATTTTTGGATTTTTAATATGTAAGATGGATTTTTTTTTAATCTTCTGATAAGATTTTCCATGATATTTCCCTTGAGCTAGGTTGAACTAAAAAATAGTTAAGGATAGGATTAGGAAGTAACAGATTGTAGTCAATAGAATGTAATCATTAGAATGTAATCATTAGAATAAAATAACTATGTGAAATGAGACCTATGACAGATTTTAATTTAATTAAGTTTATACTATATTGTAGGAATATAATTTTAGTGAATTAAAGTTTACTTTCTATCATAAAAAAAATAAAAAATAATAATAATAATAATAATAATGATAGTAATGACTGAAGAACATAAGAAAATGTTCTAGGGAGCCGATAGGAACTCAAAGACACCCTCAAACGCACTTGGTTTTAGTATTGCACCTGATTGGCCAAAAGGATTGCATGAGTTCTCTAGATGAGTCATGGGGCAAAGTAATACAAAATAAATATATCCCCACGTTACTTTCCACGCCGAATTGAAAACGTGTCTGTCCTTTGGACCATGTAACTAGTATTCTGTGTGATTTACCATATAAGTTGATGAAGTTTTAAACTTAACCCTCTCAATTTAAAACACTTTTTTGAAGGTTTTTCATGCCTTGGAGACCTGTTCAAGACTCTACGTTCCACTTTGAAAATAGATCAGTAATTATTTCAGCACAATGTCACAACAGCAAAAATATTAGTGAGCCTAGAACAATATTGAAAAAATAATTTGAGGACTTGTAGCAAGGTTTCAAATAACATTCACCACATCTTCACATCAGAATATTGAAAAAAGCATTTCAAATAAAAGAATCTGGCTTGCAGTCTCATTTGGAATGAAACCAATTGGTTTTAAACAAAGCAAAGCCAAAGAGTTGAAAAGACAAGAAGTAGAAGCAAGTAACCATTTGGTAACAGTGCCACAAAAGAAGGGTGTACACCACTGACTGCACATTAACATTTAATATACAGCTCTGTATGAAGACAATTTAAATGACTGTCTCAATCAAACTTACTTGAACAAATCAGAAATTTCTCCTCTTAAGAGAGCCAGTGTTATTGGGGTCCCCAGACAAGCTGGTACCAGATACAGTAAGGCAGGTTGGGCAGCCTTGAAGGTATGCATCACCAAAACAGTCAGTACCAAGCCCAGGAAATATGCAACAAAGCCAGAGTAGAAATACACACGGCTGGTCTTGTCTTTCTTACTGCTGTCAACAGAAAATTTCATAAATATGTGCCTTTCAGATTTTTTCAATACAAATGCAATCACAAATATTCACATGCCAATTTCCACAACAAATAGAAGCACATGTAGTAAGGAATAATCCAGAGAAAACAACACAGCATAATCTTAAGTTGCCTTGCAACAACATGAATTTTTCACACAGGGATGGTTTCATCTTCAGGCTGAGTATTAGTCAAATTCTCATACATGTACTTCAATCCCATTATCATTGCACCTTTTCTTTACATATTAGGTTTCAACTAATTAAAGGAGAGGCAAACAATGGACAAGAAAATCCAAAATTCCATATGTAGCAGTTTTGTGTCAAATAAAGTCAGAGTACATTTTATAACAAAGAGGTTTGTTGATAGGATAATTAAAAAAATATGCTGCTTTGAGAAGCTGGGATAATTTTTGCTGATCTAAAGTAGGGTACAAACAATATTAAACTTTACAACATCCAGCATTCTAAGCCAGCATGTGCCATCACTCTTATATGGACAATTACTTGTCAAATCTTACAAGTCAAGTAGGAAAAGCTGCAAATTTTAATCAAGACCACTCACCTATGATCAAACCTCAACAGAAGTGCAATAAAAATCCCTGAAAAATAACAAGAAGAGAGACAAATCTTCATCAATTTACATGTATTATGACAAACATACTGGTAAAAAAGAAACTTTGTACAGTATTAACATTCATAGACTGCAATTCAACTCACCTGGTATAACAATGTCTCCAAGTCCCAGCATAGCAAAGTTGGATGCTGATAGTCCTTTTTCAAGAAGATCCATTGGAAATATCACTGTAGTTGGGTCAAGGAAAAAATGAATTTAATAAAGAGACAAACCATATCATGTGTGCAGCTTGCTATTACAACAATGACGGATGCATCATGACACATTTGTTCAGCATGTTTAAATTTCATTCAGGACCTTAACAGGGACAGATTGCTAGACTGATAATATTTTAAAAAGCATAGACATACAATTTTATCTCTCTGGAAACCACTACCATAGGCATTTATGTTTAGGGTTAAGTTGCAGACAATTACTTTGAAAAAATCCAATGGTTGGGCATCAAGTTCCTAAGAACTTTTACTGAACATTTTGCCAATAAAACAGTGCTTCTATGGTTGAGTAATGTAGTTAGATATTAATGTTACCCTCTTTTAGTTGAATACAATTCACAAGTGTAAAAGGACACTATAAACAGAGTTATTTGCTCTACAAGTATCCTTGCAAGAAAAGGAGTGAAAGCTCTCTCTCTCTCTCTCTGCTTTGATAGCTTACATTTGATTGGTGCCTCAAAGGATTTGGCTACAGTCACCATAACATCTGTTCCAAAAACCTAAAATATAAATAAGATTTGAACAAAAGTCAGAATTTTACTTCCTGCATACTACCTCTAGGAAAGGGGTGGTTGGGGTGGGTGGGTACAATGGGGAAGTTAAGAGTACCAAGTGAAGGAGATTAAACAGAGAGGGTTGGAGGGGAGAGGAAAATAAAAATAATGACCAAAAAAAGACAGAAGGGAAGCTTGACAAAAATTTAGAATTTGGATTACATCTGCAGAAAACAGAACTGTGAAGGGTATAGAGAAACTTTTCTTAGAGGAATATGTGTAAAAAGTAAATCACTTTCCGTAACTCTTAATAATGTTTTTTCATCTAGAATTTCTTCAGAAACTGAGGTACATACCCAGAATATGTCATATACAAAGAGACCTCCCAGGAGAATGCAGCCAGTTGTTACTGTGTTCAAATGAAGCAGCTCAACTCCATTGAGAGAGAAAGCCAGACCAAATATGTTATTGGCAATCCAGTGCTGCAAGGGAATAGAAAATTGCCTTACTGTTAAATTGCACACAAAGCCTGTTTAATTGCCAAATAAGTTTCTCTTGTTACACTGTTGGACCATTAAAATAGAAATTTTTAAGAACATTTTTCAATTTAGCAACTACAATAGTTGTTTTAAGGTAGTAGAGAAACTACATATTAATTAACAGATAGTCATAGGGAAGAAATTCTAACTTTTAAAACTGTAATTAGTGTCAATGTATAAATCATGACCCTCACCAGCCATCATTGGTTTATTTGACTTACATGTAACCCTTTCAACCCTGACAGTGACCATCCTGTAACTTCTCATTACAGTAATACAGCCAAATCAGCAATTAAGATCATGACAATAGAAGAAGTGCTCACCAAACAGAGAAGTATTGATTGCTAAACATATTCTCCTTGTCAGTACCAAAGGAAAGGTATAAAGAAAATTATGGAGAATGTGAATTTTGATATTGGGGTGTGAAGGATTAAGTTAATACCACATCTTGAATGATTTCCTTCCCAAGCAAACTTTACATCTGAGACTGTCCTCAACCTGATGAGATGCGTTATGATGAAATGTGAAAGTATACAGTCAACTAACCTTCTTCAATAAATACCACAATCCCAGTACAGCCGAGATGCCCAGACAAAGCAAGTCTATTCTGTCAAACTCATAGTGCACCAGTTCTATGAGGTAAAGAAAACAATCTGCATAAAATGCACCTTTGAGGATATACAAAAGAGCACATGATGCAAACGCAAAGCAGGCCAGCCTTAAATACTAATGGGAAAACTTGGTTTGTAACTTTAATAGCATAGACTGAGAAAACAAGGTTAGTACAATATCTGTTATATCCATGAGTTCAAATAGAGGGGAGAGATTTCAATTCAAAGAAACTTTAGAATTTAGCAGGCTGTAAAGTAAAATACAGCTCACAATTTTCATCAATCATGGCACACATACTAACTGAGTGATACACGAATAATAAATGCAATTACCTGATTTTTTTTCACCCTTTCCCTCTATAAGATCAAGGGTATAGTTCTTATTTGGAAATGCTGCTGGCAACAAAAGCTCAACATTTGGTCTGCAAAGGAAGAAGGAACAGTGGGGTTTCAATCATAACAGAAAGATCCAAAATGTAGGAGACCAAAAGCCGCATCGATCAACTCTCCATTTAGTAATGGTAATACAACCAACATATACAATTGGTTGGAGCAAAAAGTTGGGTTTGTAATTTCAAGTTGGCCATGTGCACAGCATAAGGCTGACTGGAAGTTGCCCACACAATTACCCTTGACTTGTACATGAGATTACAATACAGTCATTAATGTCATTGCTAATAACAAAGAAATCACCCAATGGAATGTTAATTTTGGCAAAACAACAGTATGTTTGTAATTACACCTGTAGCATCTGTTTAAAGCTGGATTTGTTGTAATGTAAAGTTAATTACTTTTCATCAATTCCTTGGCTTTTTTAATGACTGTAATTTGATTTCTTGTGTTAAATAGTAACCAAAAAAAAAGTCTTCTGACCAATAAATTATAATCTCTTCACTCCTCAAGCTGAACCCTAAAAACCTATTCACTCAGATCTGATCTGCCACAATACATTTGCACACAACTGTGCAATTTATCTACTCCAAATTTACTGTGGCATTTTGCACTCAGGCAGGGCAAATCTTCAACAGCCAGAAGGGCATACATGTATAAACACATGGGCCCAAGGGTATTTAAGGGTTAACTTTAAGGGCATTTTCATTACACTTAAACTAATGTTGATCATGTTCACCTACTGATGCATACATTACCTGAGCAGATGAGTAACTGCCAATACACCAAGACCAAAGAAGTACAAAGTTAGAAGCAAGTTAATGTATTCCTTGCTGAATATCTAAAATAAAAACAAAACCAACAATGTCTGAAACACTCCTTAAAAAAAACCATTCATACACATACATTTATGACAAGGCAAATCTGGTAAATGTGTGGGTGGGGATCATAGTTAGAGAAGTGCTGGTAAAAAATTTTTGGCCAATTATTTTAAGTTGCATGCCAGTTGGTAGTTTTTGTTTAAATATTGAGTGATTGATTTCTTGCATAAGGCATGGAAATTTTGAGGCTCATTTTATAGCTTCTTTGAATTAATTGAAAAAGCATCATCTGAAAAAGGTAAATCAAATAGAGTGGCAAGCCATGTAAAAAAAGACTGATTTACGTGTACATTCCTATTTCAAGGTTTTCATATAACCTTTACAAAGGTTCTTTGGGCCAACCGAAACAAATACATTTGTTTTTAGGTAACCCTACAAACTTAAGAAAGATGGTTTCAAAAATAAATACTGGGCATTATCCACTTAAAAGTTCACAGGTTTTATAAAGGGAAATTTAGTATTATCAACTGAATTGATAACATAAATTGGCTCCTGTAAAGAGTTTCAAAGCTAGTGTTTCCAGTGCTAGCCCTTCATCAAAGAAAATCAGTTTGCTTATTAAATGTCTCACCTTGAAAAAGATATACAGGCCCAGTAGGGTACAGCTGGCAATGATTGGAAACATGGCAGCATCTTTTGATGTCATACTTTCTGGCTTTTCTCCAGATTTCTGTTCAGACAGATGTGAAGGAAATTGAAAAAAGTATGGTGATAGGGATAAACAAGAAAATTTTGATGTTTAGTCAATGTGATCAGTATACAGAAGGAGAAGAAAAACTGAGGCCTAAAATAGGACACTTTTCTGATGATGTAGCTCACTATCTATCACTCTTCTTCATCTATTTATATACAAAAAGATACCATTTATAAAACTGAGTATTTCACAAAATGTGCATCAGCAAAAGGGCATCTCATATTTCTATTTTTAAATGAAAATGGTATTCCACAACTAACAAATTTTGCCATTTGCCAGTGTTTTACATCATCCTCCCTTCACAAATAGTCCAAATTGGCCATGACAACTCAGCTGGATAGAAACAGGTTTCAGAGGGGATTGAAAGGGCTTTAACTTCCTTGAACAAGATTTCAAAGGGTTTCAAACCTTTTTAAGATCAGGTTTCAAAAGAGTGAAAAGAGTGGTCCAACAGCTGCTCTATACTATTACATAGTTGATGGACCATAAAGAATAGAAGAACATGTATTTCAAAATTGTATTTGTTCAACTACTTGTCGTAAAGAGCAAAGAGGAATTGTCTCATAGTAAGGCATGCTTATCTATTGGTACACTTAGAATAAAGAATAACAAAATGCATAAGGTCTAAGCTCTAACGAACAACATCTTGCGCTATGAAACTCCTCTAAAAAGGCCAAAGAAATACATGTGCCAAGTTGAAAACTATTACCAAATTTATGCGAATAGATGAAACCAGAAAAAGTAACCGGTAACTCATCGTGAAAACAAGCAATTGACTACATGGTTTTATTTTCACTAATCATAGTACTAATTACTTTGGCAATTGCAGAATACTGTACGAGTAAAATTGTTTTCTCTTAATACACCGAACGATTGGTCAATCAATGATCTATGATATCCATGTTCCTTTCACCCACGCGAGAGGAATAGAGGAAGGTAAAAAAGTTGTTAACTTAAGCTATAGGTAAGTACACGTAGACAAAACCAGTTCCTCTTTCACCAAGAAGATTACTGGAATTCTAACCAATATCCTGGTCTGTAAGATCGTACCGTCTAAGTTTTAAGTGAATACCAGAAAGGTAAAAAGATGTAAAACAAAAAGTGTTAAATCAAAAGGTTATGTGATCAATGACCAACCTTCTGTTCGATCAGATACTTGACGGAGCGAAAAGAACCAAAAAAGATCGGTAAAAGGGCCATCAAAACTAAACTTGAATAAGCCATTAACATTCCCTCTGGAGTTGCCGCGGCTCTTCCAGTAACATTCTTCGCTGTTTCATTCACGGTCGCCGAAAGATTCGCCACAGTTTCATTCACGACTGATTCCGCCATCTTCTCTTTCTAATAGTCTTTTGTTAGAGGAAGCGGTCGGCAATCCCAGAGTTCCTTGTCAGCGTAGCCCCCTCTTGTTTTCCTTTCCAATGGCCTAAGTACACGTTTACTGTCTTCAGATCAAAATTCCACCTGCTCCGTAATTTGACAAATTTAGTGCTTTCATATCGTATTTGGAATTATATAGCTCTGATTCCTGTCTGTCAAGCTAGCGCAAAGATTCTTTCAAAAAAAATTAAATAAATAAATGAAAGGCACCTCATCAAAATAACCGTTTTTTGACTTTGTTAAATAAAGGCCTTTTTCTTGATACTTTACTGCTTAGAATTTTATTCATAATTCCTGAGAGAGAACTTATTTTGTTGCTGATTGTAAATTACTGGAAACCCTTCCTTATTAACAATTTAGTGACGTAATAACCGAATTACAGTGTCGTCATTTGTTATTATGACGACATAAGAGAAACTTCTTGCGCCCTGATCCATGGGCGCAAGATATGAAAACACGTCGTAGCCAAGCGAGGTAAGAATTACTTGAAACTACTCAATGTCTGAACATGTTCACCAAATGAAAGCTAAAAGTACTCAGAATGAACACTTCGACCCGTATCCAAATTGTTCGTTTTACGCAGACCAAGCTTTTATCAGTCGCTTTAACCACGTAGCTTGTATATTACGAGATTGAGGAAGGAGGGAACATGATTTAGCTTAAAAGAAATATTTCCTAGAAACAACAGCTTGTCAAGTGGTTCGCCGTGCCAAAACCTTTATCCAGGCAAAGCATACTAGTTCACTCCAATCACAACCGGATGTCAGGCCCCAAAGCCAAAAGAGAGATCTTCTCTTGCCCAAAGTTACACTCTATAGTTCTGAGACCTTCAAGATATAAATCCCCTGGAAGATTATGCGCTGATATTGGTTTTATTCAAAAGTTCTCCCGTTATTTTCGCACAGTTCTCCATATTCAGATCCCCAGTATTTCTGGAATGGACTACTGGAACAATGGATGGTGAGTAAGAGATGGATAAGCGGAATTTAATTAATATCGACTCTTGTTTTATCAGAGGACTGAACAACATGTTTTATACTGTGACTACGACAAGAAGTCGACAAGTGGAATCTTCACTCTAAGCGGCTGAGATTGTCTGTATTTCTGTTGCGTTGATATCGTCAAAGGGTTTCTTAGAACTTTTGCTGATACAGTTCAACTTGGATAGTTTTAACCATTTACGCCCTACAAAAGAGTATCAACTGATGATATTCTCTTGCACCCTAAAATTGATAAACAAATTCTCCATACTTTTCTCCACGTATTTCCTAAGGTACCGATGAGGAGAATTTGTTTGACAATCCAAAGCTTCTTACGTTGGTGATCATTTCCTTTATTCTTATGGCCTTGATATTTGTCTCAGAGGTGATATAGTGAGGGGAGATTAGAATGTTAGTCTCTCTTAGGGGTTAGGAAAGGATTAAATGCCAAATACAAGTTTTATGCAAGCGCCAAATTCGGCTGAAATGAATTTACCTATTTGTAATAATTTTTTGTAAAGGATTTAAGGGCAAACTACATCCCTGAGGGTCAACTTCCAATATGCAGAGAAAAGCCTTCGAGAAAGAACTTCAGAGAAGGTCAGAGAATGAATTCAAGTTTAGGACTTGGCACTAAATAAATTTTCCATGGTAGTAATCAGTAGCGGATCTAGACCTTGAGCTAAGTGGGGGACCCGGTTGTTTGTTGCTTGCCCTGCCGGCTTTTCTTCCTTCTACGATTCTTTTTTTATTTTTACCCAAAATAAGGTGGGGGGGGTGGACCCCCCGTCCTTTCCCCTAGATCCACCTCTGGTAATATAATGAAACATGTTATGTCTCCTTAATACGTTCCACAAAAGATTTCGGTTTCACAAAATCATAGACAATGATGGCTAGATAAAGCCATTTAAACGAGGATCGATGAAACACATTTTCCTACAAGTAAACTGGGAGCAAACTATATAGTACTCCAATTCTATGAAGTACTTGAGTAACACTTTAATCCCAAAGCTATAACTGAGGACGGGGTCATTCAAATAAAGTTGATTATTAAGCCTATACACCTTAACATCAGTATGCAAGTTCTCCATACTGTTCTCTAAATATTCCTCATGGTACTTACGAGGAACAACACCCAATCATCCCTTTAAATCCCAGAAGTGATCAACATGAAACTTCTCCCCATAATATCCTTAGACGGTCCAACAAAAAGGTAATGAGAATATTCAAACTAATCAGGTAGAAGTTGTTATCTTGATCTAACACCAAGTTCTCAAGACTAATTTACAAGGAAATGTGTTACAGGTAGAGGGGAGAATTAACAATCAGATCTTAAGAGTTAAAGGGTTAAGAGCTTCTTAAATTTGCGATTACTCTCTTAATTCTCATAACCTTAATTTTTGATTCGGGGATGATACTGTTGGGAGAAATTAATTGCTTATCACTCCCAGGGGTTAGAGAGTTAACTTAATGTTCGAATCGAAGCTTGGATAAAGTCGATCATTATAGCCTTAATTAGTAGCTGTGGAGTCGGCTCAGAATGTCATTGACTTCCGTATTCACTTTGTTCCCTCTCTGCGTTTTGTACATTGAAGGAAGGAATATTTTTGCCAACCACGAAAGATTTGTTCATTATTGAAATATTTTTAAGGCATGAATGGCAGCAAATTGATTTTTGGTCAATATCAATTGTGAAATGAATCCCATATTCTTCTATCGTCAGTTGATCAAGTATCAAATCTTCGTATCGATCTGAGGGAGGATTTACTTAGAAACTGGACGGATCAGGAAAAAGCCAATTTCATTCAAAGGTACCTGTATTCTTGAAAAGAAAATTAATACACGATACTCACAGTGTCATCTCCTCCAAGAAGTATTTTCATGCATGGCTAACAGCAGCCTTCAAGGAAAAGCTGACGAAATGTTTCAGGATAACACTACAATAGATCTAATTTGCATCGCATATGGGCGGGAATAGCATAAGTCTTGACAGTTAAATTAAGGTCCATCATAGTCTGGGTATGTTCCATTCGAGGGTACGAATCCTTGGGTGAAGTATTCCATATCTAGCTTGTTGAATAAAAGGAGTAAGCTTCAAAGAAACTGATTCTGCGTCGGGTATTAAAAGATAATGATTTGGTTTTAACAACTGGGTTGATAATGTTAATTGGCCTCTGTAAAGGGTCTCTAAAACTGACGTTTTGAACGTAAGCCCTTCAATTCGCCCTGACGAAGGGGTAACGCTCGAAACGTCAGTTTCAGAAACCCTCTATGGAGTGGCGTTGAAATTTATCACTGGGTTCTTACTAATGAGTTGTACATACACTCTCATTCGTAAATGTTGTATCAATTTCAGTAAAATTAGCGCCAGAACCATACCCGTCCCTGATTCCTTAAGGCAAATACGGGCCATAATGACTCGAAAGCTCGTTTGCTTTTTCGATCCCTTACTATGCTAGAGAATGTCAGGCATATCAAGGCAGAATGTAATTTAGATAAAGACAATATAATGGCTCGTTGAATCGTAGGACCATCTAAAACTGAGTTATAAGGAAAGTATGATTATGATAAGAAGTAACGACTCATAAGTAATTCCAGTTCCGATACGTCATAGATTAACCGAGGTTGGAAAAGATTTCCAGTTGATTGCAGACACTTTGCCGGGAAAGGTAAGATGGGTAAAGTGCTAAGTTAAAACAAAACATAACATTTCGGACAGTAATTCGAGTTCAACACAAGTGTAGTTTTAGAGTAATTATAACACCTGACCTCATCAAGTCTTCCTCAATCTCCCCACACTCTTCCCGATCCCTAAAGCAAAGCCCATCGCTTTTTTAATTTGGCATTAAAAACTGGATCCAGTGACTTCATATGAACACAAAGTGGTAGCATTACATACACAAATATCTCTGTCCAATGGTTGACTTATTTCTATGAATACTTTTGTAAACAATTTATATTTTGCACGCCCAGAAGCTTGTGACCGACACAACATAGAAACAGAGTACGAAAGTGACATGTAAGATCCACTTGGTTCAAATGCAATTCTTCGGTAATATTGTAAGATCTCAAGGTGACGTTTCAAGCGTTAGCCCTTCGTCAGTAGCGTTGTCTGCTTAGGATATTTGCTGTTTCGCTTTCTTCAGACGATGATTCCCAATTATTTTTTACAACCTTTAACTTTGCAGACGGTGGCTCAATGCATTCAGTATTACTACCTCACCAAACATAGATGTTGCTACAAGAAAGTGAGTAACTTTTGCAGCTGCTGCAATCGAGCTGCGCGCGCGTTAAGTCAGTGACACACTAGGTTGCGCATATTTCTTGTGCCAGTTTTTAGTTTTTATCACATTTTGACTTCATCTGTGACTTGTTACTGGAAAGACGCACGGCAGCATGGAATCTATTTGATATATAGAACCCAAACTAAATTCTGTCCATTGATAATTCGGATAGGATTGTCGACGGACTCAATTCATTGTGACAACACGCCTCCGTCGCACCCGTTCTTCTGGGTGTCAGGCAATGTTCTTAAAGAACATGATATCAAAAATATGAAGGAGCGAGGAGGACAACACCTGTTGTCGCTTGGTTCTCCTCACGAGATGAATTACGACTTAAGTGCATTTAAAAATAATTTTTACGCTATTTGAGAAGCAGAGAGAACCGTTTACATGGAAAATTTTATTATTAATTTTGACTTTTCATTATAGTTACTTAAGAGGGCGATATATCACAAAAATGGACTTAAAACACGTCGAGCTAAATCATGTGGGATCAGTCAGAGGGCGAACGAACAGAAACGAGAAGCAATTCGTGATATTCGTACTGTTGCTAAAGGCAAGCTACGAAAAGCGTTCTCTTGTCCAGAGCCTAAGATTGTAGAACCCAGAGAAACATCACGTTTTGAGAAGAGCAGAAAGAAGGAAAAGAGTGCCTCAGAAAGTATGATACAATGTGACAAAAACACCGTGAGAAGGTCAAGAAACAGCGATGCTAATCCGAGTGTAGAAGTAAATGTAAGTTTCCACAAAGATGCTAATAGAGCAACGAAGGGTAAATCAGCGAAAGATGTTAATCGGGGCAAAGGTGTTTCAAAAAGATCAAACAGGCGTGACAAAGTTACCTCCGCTAGAGTAGATACATGAATTATTTTCAAGAACTCAGACGTGAAAGATCGAAGAAAAGAATGATTACTAGTGACCAAGGCAATAACGAATCCACCAACAGAGGCAGTTTGGGTAATAAGCAAGAAAGAATGTGCGTTGACTCCTCGGACTCAAGCCAACTGGACAAAGCAAATTTTATCACCATGCGTAATGGAGATGAACCAAGTGAAGATTATCCTGCACTTAGTCGCATTTTGAATCATAATCTGAGGAGTAGATATGGAGATCACGATAAAATAAAAAGCAATTCCAATTTCTCGTGCGGAAAGATGCCAAGACCATCGCGTAGCGGTATAGATTCACTCAAAGTTTTTCCAACCACTACAAGTAAAAAGAGGACGAATGGAACTCTTAAGCGTCGAGGAACCAAGAACGATCGAAAATTACTCAAACGAAAGAAAGCTGATTTAACGAACAAGGAATTTGAAACCGACGTCTATCGAGGAAAAGGATTCAAGAAAGAACCATCTAAGGTCGATCATAATCATCTGAACTTAACAAATGTCAATATAACAATAGATGTACCTTGTAAGGATCACGAGGAGGAGCCGAAAGAACACAACACGGTAAAACGAAAACGCATACGACGTAAGACTTTAGCAGATGAATGGTCTGAATTCACAGATGTACTGTTGCCTTGTTATAAGAACGCAAGAAGAAAGGGTTTGAAAAGAAACTATCCCTCCGTTAAAATCCAGAGAAAAAACCTCTGCCCTATAAAATCAACTGGCGAGAAACAGTTGTTTTGACAAAAAGACATCTTGTTAGGTGGTTGGAGAGGCTAGACATATATGTTACCCAAAACGAGATGGGAATATTGTACGAGCTAAAGGCCTTTCCAAAGCTGGTTGCAGTACAACAACGACTTGCAAGGCTGAAATTGTCGCAAAAGATAATAGGAAATATGGAGGAATTTGGCAGAAAGACGACAATTGTGTAATAACATGTGTGAGGAGAATAGCAGATAAGGAGCGAAATAGACAAGAAGCGATCTTAGAGGCTAATGTGGTAGATTCACACTCATGGTTCACTAGACCTTTTACGAAAGAATCATTTAATCGGAATGATGGTGATAAGAGAAGCCTTAAGGAAAATGCTTGACGAAAAATAACTCCAAATGCCACAAACGTTTTTGATAAAACTACAACTTCGAGCTCGAAAGAGCAATTTTTAGAAAACATTGAAAAGGGCTCAAAACACCAAGGGTTTCACACAAGCGCTCAAATTACGTGCTTAAAAGGGAATAGACCCAGACCTCCTCACGAGGTAAAATTCAACGGTGACGAGAATATCTAAGCTTTCTAGTAACCGCCATACAAAGCTCCTAAGTCAAAGGAGTCAGGGAAAGAGATGAATTGTAAAGGGAATCAAGAGATCGTGCTCGAGTGAACCGGGGAACAATAAGAAATCTGGGGAGGCATTTAATACGAAAAATCGTCGCAGCAAAGACAACAAGACGAAGCCGCCTGAGCAGGGAAGGAGTGGAAAAATGGAAGCCCTGAATCGGCGCAACAAAAGTTGGCCGCAGTTTGGCATTATTGACAATAAAACCGGAAACGTTCTACTTTGGACAAAATATATATAAAATAAGACTACACAATAAATCACTCCAGTAGAATAAACGGAGATGCTGAATCGTCTGAATTTTTTTTTTAAACCAAATGATCTTAAATTATTTTTGCACGTAAAAAAATCGTTGAAAACTTTCCCTTAAGCGTTCCCTATTCGAGGAGACACGAACTTTGGTCTCAAGGACTAAAAATTATGATTCCCATCATGGGATTTGTAATCCCTAATAAAGGGGAGAGCTTTCTTAGCCTCCAAAATGTCCCTTAAGAGGGAGTTTCCTGAATTTTTTAAAAAATTATTAATCGATATAAAATTCTATATAGTCAATTTCTCTCATTAAAATATTGTGCATACAATAGTAAATTACTAACAACAAAGCTTTACTTTCTCATCTAGCGACATAATCGGTGTGGAGTAACTTAAGAGAAATTACGCTTTGAAAAAATTTTGTTTAACTATGAAATCATTACTCTTTAACGACTTAACTTTTTTCGGTAAGGCGCTTTTTCAGAAACAAGTCACATTAAGAGTGACAATAGCAAAGCTTTTGGCCAATTAAAATAACCTTGGATAAGGTGCTCTGTCGTATTTATCCTGACAATTTTCTCATTTTCGCTTTTTGTATTTCTTCTAGCTAGCTTATACGTCTCTCATGTGCTTTATGATATCATAATAAACCACTCCAGGCGCGTCCAAACCCCAAAGGAAGTCCATGTGATCCCACTTTGGGATATACTTGTCATACAGTTTGTTCGGCAGCAGAGGTAGCAGCGCCCGCACATCTGTTGGGTCAGCTAACCAGTCATTCTGAGCCCAGTACAGAGCCACAGGAACAGTCATAGCTGTTGCATTATATAGGGGTGGGGTGTCCTGTAAAGATTGTTGGGAAACATTTATTCTTTAGTGAACTTAAGATTGCAAAAAATCACTTGTTACTTGTAGGTCTTCGAAAAGATTATTAAGAACAGGCCATAAATAAAAATTGCAAAGGGAAGGTATTTTCAAACTAACCTGTGGTGCTGCGTCGGTGGGAGAAAATAGAAGGTAATTTAGTCTTAACAACTAAGTTGAAAACGTAAATTGGCCACCTCAAAGAGTAAAAAAGCTGATGTTTCGAGCGTTAGCCCCTCGCTGGAAGGGCTAACGCTCGAAACGTCAGCTTTTTTACTCTTTACGGTGGCCAATTTACGTTTTCAACTCAGTTGTTAACTCTACATTACCTGCATATTTCGAAATAGCTTGATACTAGATAGGCTCGATTACCAGCCGCTGTTCGGGAACATGAGCCCGCGCCCCTCCTCCCGAACGCTTGGGGAGGAGCATGGACTGGATACGAGGGAGCAGCGACAATCGAGCTTGGATACTATACTCTCAAGCCGGAAATACACAGATTATTTACCTGTCCGTAGTGTTCCCTGTTCTTCTCTGCACTTTCATAATTAAACATTTGAAACTTGTTGGAATCTGTCATCTGTATAGAGGTAGATACTTTAATTTTTGTTTCATATTGCAGCACCATTTAATAAATTTCTCAGTAACCACAACATAGCAGTGGAAAAAACTTTTCTTGTAAGGACCGTGACGAACTAGGAAAGTAAAAGCTTGATTCCATCTCCTGTGCGTTTCGTCTAACAATAGCAGACTTCAGGGAGTTTTCACAAGTTGGGTAAATAAGTTAACTTCTCTAAAAGCGTACATAAGATGTCTGCTTAAGACCTTTACACGTAGTGTACAGCTGGCAGAAAGTATTCGCAAAGTGTGTCTGAAGTGTTGTACATAAGTGACATTTTTCGTGCAAGTACCTGATGTGTTTTAAGGTTGAAAAAAAAAATTACTGTTTAACAACACGAATAATTAAGTTCCAAATAACTGAGAATGGTGTTTGCACCACTACACGATCAAATATACATATAAGACGCCACTTAACGTGCCTGCAAGAAGTGTATCATGTTTTTCACCGATGTGCCTGCTGGAGTGTGAGATACATACACTGGAAGTCGCGTCTGTCAAGAAAATGAAATTCACATTTACCACTTGCTTGTCTGCTTCTAATCATATTCTCCATACTGTTCTCTATACATTTTTATAAGGTACTGATAGGGAGAATTTGTTTAACAATCAAGAGCCTCTTTAGTTGGTGATCATTTCCTTTATTCTCGTGGCCTTAATGTGTGACTCAGGGGTGATATTGTTAGGAGAAATTAGATGCTAGTCATTCTCAGAGGATTAATCCAATGTTAATCCATACAGTTGGAAATAACAAGGAAAAGAGTAACTTAGAAAACTGAAAATATTTTTAATGGAAGCTGGGTGATTCGCTTGCAGGAAGATTGTAGTCCTTCAGAATATGGTTGGCTGTAGAATATCTCCTCAATTTTTAAATTTCAAGTAACAATTTTTCTCTTCCTCTCCCCCTTTGTAGTCTTTTTGTATTCACACGCGGCGTGCATGATTTCACAAATTAGCCAATCACGTCAAAGAACTCTAAACTTGACATTGAAAACTGGTGTGGACATTTATCACGTACTGTTTGTTTGTTTTTGCGGAGTTTTAGTTGATTTTGAGCTTTATTCGCCTAAATTTGTTACCCCTTTGTTTTGAATTTGAAGAAGTTTCGGAGTTTTTAATGTAGCCAAATGTTGTGGTTCATTTAACAAGTTTAATACATATTTTCCACGGAGTATGGACTCTAGCCTCTCTTTTCGTAGATGAATTTTGTACAGTTTGCGAAGACTTACCATATTAAGTTGTGTCTTGTCATATCCAGCGATGAGAAAAACGATATTCGAGCAGATTAAGTCCAATTCGTGTTCGTCACACACGTGGTCAGCTAACCAATGAATGAGGAAATCGGACGGAAGGAAATCCCGCACACCCAGAAGTTTGAACAAGAACTAGGGAAGAGAAAAGAAACAAATGTACATTAATAAAAGATTTCTCGAATCATAAACTAGTGAGTCGCTCTGTACAAACGAAAATAGTAAAAAAACTCGTTTAATCTTCTACGCATTTCATTCGATAATAGTAGACTTCACAAGTAGTTTTACAGGTTGGGTAAATAAACGTTTTTAGACGTTACATCGACGAGCATGTGATTTGTTTGGGGGTCACAGATTTAGCACCTGAAATAATTTGTCCTTATGACCTTAAACTTCATTATAAATAAATGGGGGCTTCCTACCCTCGCATCCATTAACTAAGTAGCTTTTCTCTATTTTCCTGAAATTTTTCATCATACTGGGTGCACGTTCGTCATCGTCTTTTAGCACAAAAAAGAAAAAGTTAAGGTAACTGTTCACAACTTTAGTTTCTGTAACTACGTCTTACTCTGTTATGCGACTGAAAGGTGAAGGGGAAACTGGTAAAAGCTGCCAAGTATTAATTCTTACCTCAAGTTCCGGTCCGAGATGACGGAAATATTTAATTGGACTTTCAATGTGACCAGTAGTTGTCACGGGTCCAAGGGCAAAGAACCTCTTCACCAGTTTGGCCAATTCTTTATTCCTTGAAAACTCTGCAAAGGCGATGAGCGTTCCTTGCGAATGCCCCACATAATACAACGATGGCTGAGATGTCTTCGATACCACAAACTTCAACATGGCGGGAAGGTCATATCGCGCCATCTCATCCCAGCTATGAAAAAGAGAAGGTCAAAAACCATCGTAAGTTGATTTTCAATTCGATGAACTTGTTTCAGTTTGAAAAATATTAAGATATTCTGCGAGGCCTAGATTACGTGCAGTCCCTCCTTTTCGCCGAAGTCCGTTGCGCGAGTGAAAAAAAAAAGACAGGAAAAAAAAATTGGTGTTAGCACGCCGCGGAGAACTCTGGAAGTGGGCTTACTTTTCGTGTGCCTCACTGCCATTACAAAGCAGTAACCTTGGAGAAAACTTGCTCATGCAGATCCGGTGTTTCTTGAAATGTTACCAGCCCTTCCCTCCTCTCTTCACACCCTGGTCAAAGGTCGTCCTTGTGACCCAAGAATGAGTCAGGGTTAAACGGTGACGCTCAAGATTTAAACCGTGATGAAAAAAAGATTATTCAGCTGCTTTGATGGCTTACCACATGTTTGAGTTACAGTTTTAGTTTGAAATAGAAATTTTAACTTTACATTAACTTCACATTTAATTTTGGAATGAAAAATTTAGAAACAGTGCAAAGTCTAGTGACTCTTCAGTCATCACATATGAACGCAGGATCTGTAAAAACACTCGCCCACGCAGATCTGGTGTTTCTTTTTTTAAATGTTACTTAGCCTCCCGTTTTAAAAAACATCCAGGTCATAGTCCATCAATGGGACAGACAGGATAACAAGGGGGGGGGCCTAGGGGAGCAGTGTGATCATTTTACCTTCGGGCCTGGTAATTCCCGATCTTTATAAGCTCAATTATTCATGACTCGTGTATAACCTTTTATTCGATATTCATGATTCGTTTTAACTTGTATCTCGTGATTCATGATTCCTAAACTTTGAATACTAAAATTCATAATTATTTGATTAAACCGCTGTAATTCATGATTCATCCCTTCCCCCCCCTCCCCCACTCGATAAGGGTAAGTGAGAAAGACAGGTAAACGCGCAGACTGTGAGTGAAAGAAAATGTTCAGCAGCACTAAAAATTTTTCAGAAAATTAAAATGACGCCAAGCTCACCTAAAATCCCAGAATTCATCTGAATGGACGGAATAATTGACATGATGAAGGCCATAGGTATTCCCTCGAACATTCCCAAGCCAAACGTCGAAGCCTGCATCAGCCAAGATAAAGGCCAGACTTTCATTTGGTAAATTTGTGACCCAGTTAGATGACGAACACAAAAGACCATGCTGAAGGAAAACCACAGGTTTTGGACCATCAAGATCTTCTAAATTTTCCTTTCTTCCTGCGGGTATCCTTTGTATTGTGATGACGTAACCATCCTCTGTAACCACATTGAATTCTTCAGCTGGGTAACCATTGTAGCGAATTATTGCACTCTGGGAAAAATGTCAGAACATGTCTGTTTCACCAGCTTTTTGCTCTTAATTAAAAAGAAAACGATCGCTTTGACAACCAAAAACCTTCCGGTCTTTCTAAATCACACCTCATCACACGCCTATTTCCCCTCCTCCCTCCACTCCCATCTGTTTCGCTTCCTTAACCAGAGCGATTTCGTGACTCAAAACTCGTGATCTCTCCTGTCTTAACTCGGGTCAAAGTACCGTAAACATATCCATGTCTGTCTGAAAAAAGCTTACAGCCGCTGACGCAAAAAATGAAAGCCGAAAAATTTGATTGCGTTACGTGAACGCTGTGTCAGCTTTCGCCTCAACAATGCTTTTACTTTCTTGTCTTCTCAAAGAAACCGGAAACAAGCAATCCTAAAGCCAAAACGAATATGACCAAAATTTCTCTTTGATCACTTAATCTAACGTTGTAAATAACGACAGCAAACTGAGCTGTAGAGTCGGTGGCCGTTGAAAGCAAAGCCAGTACGACTAACCACGCATGTTAAATCTCCATTCTTGCGTAATTCCTGTCTACGCAATATATCAAAGCCAAGTTGTTCAGTTTCGAGTCTACAACTGTCTTCGGGAAATTCATCGATGTATTCGTAGTTAAGGAAGTAAAATTCCCAACTCATACACTTTGTATGAACGGAAGGGTTATAAAAACCAAACGTATTATTAAAGATAGATAAGCTTGCGAAGTTAGTTACCTACCACGTTCATGTGAGTCTCAGGCAAATCTTGGAGATCGGAGGCGCTAATGGCAGCCACCGTGACCCCTCTTAGAGAGAACGATAAGCAGAGTACTACAATGCATATCACAGACATATTCGCCACAATATTCCCAGCAGCTCACGACCAAAACGTACAGCAAATTGCACTAACCGCGGTTAAATACCAGAACTTAAGTCACGTGGCAGCTTAGTTCGTTTTCTGACAGCTCGTGACTCGCGTGTGACTGTCATTTCTAACAGAAATGCAATGCAACCGTTGTTTCACTGACTACCAATACAAGGCATTGTATTTATAAATGTCGCAGTATCGCACGTGAGATTCAAAACATCAGGACACTATATTGTAACAACGAAGACTTTATGTCACCTCATCAAGCGCTTTGTTCTGGCCTGTTTTCTATTTCCGTTCTCGCTTGTTTCCCTCGGGAGTTATGTTAGTTAGTTGATCAAATCCGCAAAATTGTAAATATCAAGAATTTTCAAAAACAAATAAATTTCTCGGAAGTTAGAGATTAGTGCACTCAGACTTGCAAATCAAAATTAACCATTAGGGAACATTACTATTCAGTTTTCATTTTCTACGCATAATTATCGTCTCACAACAACAAAGCGCATAATTATGCTGAGACAATAGACGAAACTTTCAAATCGTATTTCCAACGGACTGGCCATTGTGTTAGTCAGTGAGTAAGTTGGGGCGAGCGCGCGTTTCTATAAACAAAATTGTTTGTTTATCGTCCTTTACGAACGTTCTCATCATGGCAAATGGCGTAGAACACGACAGTCTCTTGGAGTCCGAGCGACCACATCCGCCGAGCATGTCTTCGGGTAGTCCAGCAATCAAAATCCACTTCGAAACATTCGAAATGAATTCTTCCTTTCCAGTAGATTTAAACGCGAGTATAAATTCGATGAGTCTTCCACAAGCCGTCCGAGAAAATAAGTTAGCCCTCGTCAGGCAGTATTCTCATATGGGACAAGATTTAAACGTCGCTGACTGGAATGGTTTTACAGCCCTCCATTACGCTGCCCGCGCCAACCAGGTTGAAGTGGTGATGACGCTGGTCGAGTGCAAAGTGGACATCAACCAACAAGGACGAGAGTTACTAACGCCATTACATGTAGCAGTGCGGTAAGTTTTTCTTGAACTTTGCTTCAGTAAACATGATTTGAACAAAGTTTACACACTGGATTGATTAATCAAAGTTATTTAACATCTTTATTAGCTTGCGAACAACATATTGCCAGATTTTTTAAATAGATTTAAATGGTCGATAAAGCCATAGAGTATTTTTGCCGCAACAAATCAGTAAAAATCTGTTCTTGTGTGCTACACACAAGACTTTTATTGTTACCAGTTCAAAATAAAAAGCAGTAAGAAAAGCTTATTAACCTTGTTTTGCATCACACCTGAACAAAACAACCACGAGCAAAATACAACTTACTTTATTGCTATCATTTTTTTAAAGCTAATCCTCAATTTCCCTTTAAAAAAATGTTATTTTTCATCAATATAATTCGATCGGACCTTAACTGCATACTAATTTGGCTCATAGTGACATAACAAAGTTGGACGGTTGATGCTTGAGACCGCAACCGGTCCTACCTAGATTAGCCAATCAGCGATGAAGAATTGGTTTAGCCAAAGACCTACCCGTCCGAGAACTCTTAGAGACTTTACATATAGAGAAGATTCTCACGATCTGCACTAAGTTGTTTGGCAGAGAGTTCACTCAGTTTTTGGCTGACGCAGCACAGCTCTTAGGGACTTAGTAACCCATTGTTATAATCTTTTGTTTTGCGTTGCTTCAGAAACATGCCTGGGCAAGTTGGAATTGCGCTAAGCCCCGTCTAAATAAACAAGCGTATTATTGCTTTATTCTTACAAGGCTATCAAGCCGGCTGTTGGAAGAGAAGAAATATGTTAGGTCTGGGGAGATTAATTGAATTTTACCGTTAATTTTAGTTGTAAAGGGAGCTACATTTAGTCACAATTTATTATTTTGTAATTACGGAGTTCTTGTTTACCGATCGTCTCGTTACTATATAAGAGGGTGGAACAATACCATCTGCCGCTTGCTGCCTTTTTTTTTCTCCCGTTTTAATTTGGTTAATGAAGCATTGATGAGCATAACATTCTTCAAAAGAAAATACGCGTTTTGTTGTAAGAGGGAGAAAATATTTCAACGTTCGGGAAAAATGCCAGAAAATCAACCACAAAATCAAAGAAAAGCTGTTCGTCAAAAAAGATTTTGAGTGAAAATGAATTATCAGCGGCGGGCGAAAACTGGGTACGAGAATGATCACTTTTTCATGCCCAGTTTCAACGCAGCACCAATGCCACGCTGAAACTATCGAATAGGGAGTACTGGTAATTTACCACGATGCAAAATCATGAGCAATAACTTCGTATCTGAGTTGGGAAGACATCAATTTGCCGCAGTAAAGACGTATTTCTTATTTAGCTAGCTGTTCAGCCAAGCTGATCACTAATTTATCGCGGAGATTTTCAATCGATGTTTAGATGTGCGGTGCACAGTGATTTGACTATGTAGTTTCTTGTTTACTGAAGAATACTATAGATTGTTCAATACCATTGCTAGTCTTAAAGTCGCGCTCAAAAAGTTAATTTGGCCCTTCGCGTTGTAAGAGGCCGATTCATTTGAGCAGCACGCAAACTTCTGTTTTCTAGGCCTGAAGCTTAAGCTCAGCATACTTTTATCTTTCCTAACAGCTACAACAGCTATGAAGCTGTTAAGACACTCATTGAGTATGGTGCCGACCCCTCCATGAAAGATACTGACGGTGCAACCCCGCTCCACTTTGCGGCTCGCCATGGTTGTGTAGACTCGTCAAAAGTTCTGCTCAGTAACAGTCTATCATCTGTTAACTTTCAAGATAACAGCGGTATGACGCCATTTCACTTAGCCTGCGCTAGTGGCAAGCTCGAGTTATGTGAGCTGTTCCTGGAACATAAGGCAAACATCCGAGTGCGCTCTGTGGAAGAAAAGAGCCCTTTGCATCTTGCTGCGTTACACGGAAACGAAAGGATCGTTAAACTCTTAGTCAAAGAAGGTGAGTCTGAAAACTATTTGAACCCTAAATAATAAGAACTTTTGTGCATTAGCGCCGCTCAAATATCTATCCCATGCGTGAAAATACCATACAAATTTTTATCTAGCTATATAATTTTTTTCACAGTTTATTTTTCCTTTTTTTTTGCATTTATTTTTCTCAAGAGAAAACTAAAGAGAAATGAAGAGAAATAAGGGCTTTCATTATTTCCGTTTGATTATCAGTTAATCTTTCAGTAAACAGTGTATAGGAGCAAATCATGGCTTCCCTATAGAGCTTTCCTCTAGTGTATCTCTACTTGTTTTGAAACAAGTATTAAACTGTGCGTGCACACATCTTAAACGGCTGCGCCAGATAGGTAGGGAATTTGCTACAACATTTTTGCCTCGACGTATTTGACCATCGTTTTCCTGTTCCAGCTTTTCTTGAGTTTGGGAACCCGTTAATCTACATCGATGCGCCTGACTTCGAAGGAAACACTGCTCTTCACTTAGCCTGTCAGAAGGGCCACAAGGAAACTGCAGAACTTTTGTTAAGTCAAGGAGCTGATATGATGGATGGTCTGGAGACATTTGGAGAATCAAGTGTGCACTCTCCCCTGCACCTTGCAGCTGCCTATGGTCACATGGATATTGTGGAGCTTTTGATATCGCATGGTGCTTTTGTTGATAGTAGAGATGAGTGGCAAAGAACTCCTCTTCAAAGGTGAGAAAAGTGCACTGTAATCCTTTCAAGAGATCAGTGTCAAGTAAGTAAACTAGATAAAAAAAAGATACTCTCTTATTGAAAGATGATTTGGGTTTTTCAACTGAGTTGATAATGTGCATCGGCCACAGTGAAGAGTTTCTAAAACAGATGTTTTGAGTGTTAGCCCTTCTTTGTCAGAGCGACTCTTCGTTGTGGCGATGAGATTTCTCCACCAAAAATTCAAAATAATAAAGAGCCAGGATGTTAAGTTTATTTGTCCTAATTTTTGGGCAACGAGAAATCTAACTCCTTTATAATATTTTCTATCGTAACTGTTGCTTGTGTAGAGCTGCTGAATTTGACCGTGTGGACACCGTCAAGTTCCTGCTGGAGAACGGAGCGGACATTGACGCCAAGGACAACGAAAACCGCACTGCGTTCGTTTTGGCAGTGAAGCGAGGCAGGACCAGAACTGCGGAGCAACTTCTAGATTCTGGGGCTAACTTCAAGTCGCGCGATGCGTCGCTTAGGACCTGTCTACACCTTGCTGTGAAACATAAACGAGAAGAAACTCTTCGCATGCTCCTTGATCGAGATCAAGGCCAGTTGATCAACGAAACAGACAAGGATTTACAGACGCCTTTGTTTTACGCGGCACATAAAGGAAATTTGAAGGTAAGGGTATTCTAGACAGCCAATCTCTGTTGATACCTCCTTCAAAGCATTTTCTCGTGCTGTTAGATGACTCTGATAAGTGATTGGCTATTACATTCTGGTGCACTTATTGCCGCGCTACGCTGTTGGTAACAAGTATTTATGCATTTGCACAGCTGTAAAGTACATCACAAAGTCTTTATTAACTTGAAACGTCCAATGATAATCACCAGATCCTTCAACTGCTGATAGAAAAGAAGTGCACGGTGGCTCCTAAGGACGTAATGGATCGGACCCCATTGCATGCCGCCGCAGAACACGGTCACGTGGCCTGTGTGGAGGTGCTTTGTTTGGCTGAACAAGGCCACATTAATGACAAAGATGAACGTGGGCTTACACCTCTTCACTTAGCAGCGCTTGGAAGCCACAGGTTCTTTTTTTAATTTATAATCACTCATTACCCGTCTCTCCCCTACTTGCTTGATTCGTGCATTCGTGTCACCAGTTTACACCGCTTAGTATAAATAATACTTGCAACACAAAACAGTGGTTCTTCATCATTTGATCCATATTTTAGAGTTCTAAATTCTGGAGATATCAAAAATCGCTAGCATTCAATTCGTTTCTTTCTCACCGGCTGGCACAAAATGTACAAATAAAAGTGAGCCAGTTACAAAGAGAAGTTGTTTTCCATTAGGTTCGAACTTTATATCCTCAAATGTGAGCTTTGCGCGCTCTTCTGCCTATCCTTAAAGAACATGTCTAAAGTCTACCCAGCATACCCGCACAAGACTTATGTTATTGCGTTTGTGCTGCTTATAGGAAAACAACAGTTCTTCTCTTACACTTGGGTGCCAATCCCAGTATCCAAGACAGCAATCGTTGGACAGCCCTGCACCATTGCGCCTCTGGTGGATGCCCACGCACTACTCAAGCACTGCTGTCGTATCAATCCGCGAGTGCCATTGATGCAGGCGATCAAAATGGCGACACCGCGCTTCACGTGGCCGCGAAGTACGGTCACGTCAACGTTTTGGAGCTTATGTTATCACGTGGTGCTGATATCACTGCACGTAATAAGCAAATGTTGACGTGTTTGGATGTTGCTATCTCGTGTAACATGGAAAATGTGGCTGAGGTTATTCTTGGGAACCCCAAGTAAGTCCAGAAAACCATTTATCATCAGTATGCATATTCTCCATACATTTCCTAAGGTACTGACAAAGAGAATTTGTCAAACAATCAAGAGTTTGTGAGTATGAAAGCGATCTTCGAGAGTTTCTTCGGTTGGTGATCGTTTTCCTTATTCTCAGGACCTTAATGTTTGATTCAGGGGGATACTGTAGAGAGAAATTAGATGCTGATCACTCTTAGCGGTTAAAGGGTTAATAAGGAGAAAAGCGCACCGAAACCATCTTTGGTTCATGACTTCTGACAATCTTTGACAAGTTATGGCAACCGTTGGATTCTACAGGTAAAGAAGCAACGGAAATCAGATCACATTCATCCTCTGCATTTCAGTTCTAATCATTTTGAAAGTTCAAGGGTTTGGGGCATTTGTCTGCCCAATAGAATCCTAAGTTGATGCATTTTCAACACCATTTTGGCCCTTAGGATTGAGCCAAATACCTCAACGATGTAAGGTAGTGTAAGTAGTGTAAGTTGGATGTTTTAGGTGACTGACTCAAAATGTCTCTCTGTATTAGAAACATTTAAACCATTGTTTAAAATCGCTGATGACTGCCTGTTTTTCAGGTGGATGAGCTTGTTTGAATACACGGTCGACAGGGGAGCAAATCCACTGAAGAACTTAATCAAGAGCATACCCAGACTTGCACAGGTTGTCATGGATAAATGTGTAACCTGCTCCGATGATCAGCGGGATGACCCTGACTATTCCATAACCTTCGACTTCAGTATTCTTTCTGGTCCAGGAGATAAGGAAGACCCAAGAACTTCTGAAGGTCCACGCTTTTTTGCCCCTTCCTACATGGTCCAGTACGAGCGCGAAGGACTTCTCATGCACCCATTATCGCAGGTGCTTCTTCAGTGGAAGTGGAATACCATGGGAAGGCCGTTATTTGCGATAAACTTTTTGTCCTACCTCGCTTTTGTTGTGCTGTTGTCTGTGTTCATGATAGCGGAACGAGGAAAGCTGAGGTTATTCAATCCTGGCGCAGAGGACTTCCAGGATGATGAAACCGATCAACTATTTCGGTCTAGAAGTGGGCTATCAGCTGGAGCTCCTGTTTTGATTCTGATCTTTATCTGCATTCACATGATCAAAGAAATTTACCAAATTGCTATTCAGAAATGGAGATATCTAACTCATGTCACAAACTATATTGAATGGTGTTGCTATTTGTGCACTATTTGTTTTGTGTCTCCCTATCTCGGGAGAGGAAACATTTTCAAGGGTACAATGACGATGTGGCCTCTTGCCTCAGCCGTGATTCTATTATCGTACACAACCTTGATCCTGTTCCTGAGACGATTCTATTACGTTGGTATCTACATCTCAATGCTCATTGAGGTTACCAAAACACTTTTCAAAGTGATCATCATTTTCATTCCAATGTTATTTGCTTTCAACCTGACCTTCTTCATTCTACTAAAAGAGCAGGTGGGTATTTCACATGACTTAAGTATAAAAACGACCTGGCATAGGCCTGAAAAGGGCGCTTTTCGATTGAGTGTCGGAAAACCAAGACCAAAGATATCACAATAACTAATCATAACAAGGAAAATATTTCAAGGAGCCAATGAGAATCGGAAAAATCAAGACCAAAGATATCATTGGTTTTAGCAATATGATTGGCTAATCCAATTTCATAACTGAGTAAAGCAAAACCAAAGCAACCCCGGATTACTTAAGACGCTTGTTGTAAAATTTTACCAAATTTCTTAGATTCAACATTGTTCTAGACTTTCGCGCGCTACATTGCGCGCCATAATCTAGTTAACTCTAGTTAACTAATCTAGTTAAACCGCGCCAACTGCCTGAGGCGGGACAGAACGTATCGACATCGTGCACTTGGTGGGTCTGATCGGTTAAAAGGATATCCGTAGTTATCTGGACCAATCACAAGACGCAGTAAGGAAAAAACAATTCCATCTCGGATTACTTCCAACTCCAAAACTTAATTGAAATGGCTTTATTAAAATCACACCAACATCTACATACAGTTTAACTGTTTTAATAAATTTAATGATCGTTTGAAATCAAACTATCACTAGTGAAGACCTCATTTCTCTCGTTTCCAGGCCACTTTCCGCAATCTGTTCTGGTCCTTTTGCAAGACGTTTATAATGATGATCGGGGAGGTTGATTACGGCTCCATTGTGGTCGATGCGAAGGCGGAGATCAACGACGAATCTGGTGCCCCTCTTGTACACCTGCCAGAGTTCACTGCCATCATTGTGTGCTTGTTCTGTATGATTGTGTCTGTTCTGGTCATGAACCTATTGGTAAGTGAAGACTTGGTGGGAGGGGAGAGAAGGGCTATTAGTACCTTGACTCTTGGGTACAAGATGGCGCGTCATCGTTCTTAAAATTTTGATCTTTTGTGTTATAATTATAGTTCTAAAAAAACGGCAACATCTTAATCCTTTACGAACATCATGGATTTTAAATGTAGTATTTCATTAAATGTTTCTCAACGCTGAACAAAATTTAAAAAAAAAATAGTGACTCGCTTTCTGGCCGTCAATTAGGTTCTTAAGTCACTTCCCCTCCCCTTCTCCAGTTCCAAACGCCTTAGTAATTCACAAACTTCCGCGGAACGTATTGAATCGTTCACCAGTGAGTGGTAGTGTTGTCCAAAAGTTACAAACTTTGTAACACATACATATGCCAGGAAGTATATGAACTGGTTCAACTTCTTTTCTGAATTCTTTACATTTCAAGCGAACCTTTAAATTTTGTTTTAACATTCTCTTTTAATTACTTACACTGTAGAACTAAAGTTATTTGGGAAAATGCATGGCCTGTACACAGTTTAAAAGAAACATTATATCCACATTATTAGCGAGCTTTATAATCCAAAAACAAAACACAACAAACAAACAAAAAAGCCCAAGAAATGAAAAGTTTACGAGTTTCCTTTGCCAGGATTGGAACCTTGAAAATCCCGCACATGTCCCTGACCAGTGTTCACATTTAAAAATGTCTCATCGCAGGTGGGTTTAGCGGTTGGAGACATTGACAGCATTCAACGTAATGCCAACATGACGAGGCTCGCCATGCAAGTTGAATTCGTATGTGATATTGATCAACGATACCCACGTTGGCTGAGAAAGTATTGGCATAGATCCGTTCTTGTTTTAAAGCCGAACGGAAAAAATGCGTTCTCATTGTAAGTGCAGCATTCATTCATTTTTTTAGTATAAGTTTTTTACCCATTTTTTTTTATTTTTTATTTTTTTTTATTTGGACTTCAGCAGCGTATGTTGGTTTTCACTGACTCAATAATAAAACATCCAAATGAATTTTAGCCTGTTCCAGACGCTCGGTTGGTAAAACGAGGACTGAACCGACTCAAACCTCGACCCTTTTCCACTCCGCCTCTTCCATCAAGACGTTTCTGTCTTTCGATCCAATCTACCTCCCGGAAACCTGGAACGGTCTCGTACCCAGACCTTTCACGCCCAAGCGGTTGAACACTTCAGTTACAGTTACATGGTAGGATATGGGTACGAGATAAGGGTTGAATCATCCCAGGGTTTTTCTTTTCTTTAATCTTTGTCCCTCATACTTCTTCATATATATATATATATATATATATATATATATATATATATATATATATATATATATATTTATATATATATGTATGTATGTATGTATGTATGTATGTATGTATATATTAATTTATTCATATGTTTATTTACTTTTGGCAGCCTGTTACATATAAATCGGAGGCTTTTTCCCATGCTTGAAAACTTTATAAATGGGCAAAAGGAAAGTGAAGTTGAAGAGGATGAAGGAACCAAGAAAATATCCATGGAGATCACCAAACAACAAGAGCAGATTAAGTTTTTACAGAAAACTGTTGAAGAACAATCAAGACTTCTTCAGGAAATTTCTCATCAGCTGAAACAGACCGCTCATTCGACGGCCACAGCGGAGGATACCAGGCTGTAGAAAAGCTACTGAGCACATTCCTCTGGGAGTGTTTGATCTTAGCGGGTTGTAGGTAGCGGGTCGCGGGTAAATTGTCACTAATGTTCGAGTTTCTTCTCGAACCTCCAAATGTCCATTCCCTCATCTACTCTTACTTTTCTTTTTTTTTTTTATTCTTAGTGTCAGTAGGAGAATTACATTGTTTAACTCATAGTGTTGTGTCAAAATAAGTTCCTCTGCAGTGATCACCTTGTAGATTCTCATAATCTGTTACAGAAAAATAGTCCTCCATGCATTGTTGAAGTTTGTTTAACCCTTCACCTCCCATGAGTGACCAAGAGATAATTTCTCCTCAAAATATCAATACAATATTAAGCATAGAAGTGATGAGAATAAAGTAAAATATCAGTTACGGGATTATTAGTTGATCCAATACCAAATTCTCCAAATTGACATCATGAGAATTGTATATCAGACAGTAAAAAGAATTACTAATGATATCTTGGGAGTGAAAGGGTTAAGGGACCGGTCAGTAGTTATCCGCGTCGGGGGGGGGGGGGAAGGGTGCGGTGGATTTTTGTTGCGACAACGCAGCCTTTACGTGATCCCCCCTTGAAGTATATAGGATTTTTTTAACACCCCCCCCCTTCTCTCCAAATTGACGGTGGAAGATTTCATGTATTATGTGCTTACAAGATTTCAGCTTCTATATTATATTAAAAAGTTAATTTTCTAGAGGAACTGTGGTGCTGCGTCGGTGGCAGAGTATAACAGGGTAATTTAGTATTCTCAGCTGAGTAAATTGGCCACCGTGAAGAGTTTCAAAAGCTGACGTTTCGAGCGTTAGACCTTCGTTAGAACGAAAGGAGGAATTGTGGTTTGTGTGTGTGTGTTATATATATATATATATATATAACGTATTGCTCTCACTTTCAACACTTTTTATAACCTTGTTGTATACCTCTACGTAGTTTGTAAATATCTTTTTCTGGTTATCTATTCATGTGAAATTTGTTTATGACAATTATCTAAAATTGTTAGAACATTACTTACAGTATATAAAATTTACTTTACGTTGAGAAAAATACAATAGTGTAAGTCGATATGGAATTTCTCTTCGAGTTGAACACGGGGAGAGAAATTCCATATCTGCAAGCAAACATATATCATTTTTTTTTAGTTATATAAACAGCGTAGGCCTTTACCAGCAAGAGTGGCGCGAAAGGCGAGTTACATATCAGCAGCTGATTGGCGATATTAAGCAAACGAAGAAAATTATCATTATTAACACATGCGCAGTTCCAGTTTTTCTCAGGGCTGGAAATCCTTGTTAAACATCGCAGTTTGTATGATAAATTATACGGTAACCATATTGTGTGATTAAAGATTGAACCTTGTATTTTGTGTCTACAATATATTGCTGTTACTTTCAATGTATCACATTACCTTCTTGTGACGCATAGTTTGCTTTAGCTGAAGAGGGTCGGTTACACTGCAGCAATACCCAGCTATTTCGCTAGTACTACAAGGTTGGGGTCCCTGTTCCAGGTGAGAAGCTTTCCCTGGTTCACATTCATTTCTAGTTTGCATTTTTAAAAGGAGAAAAAAACAGGCAAACAACCCACGAAAAGTATAAATGCAATGATTACTTGTCAGGTAATTACCGAGATTTAATCTTTCTCCCTTATTTATTCAGTGTTCAGTATGGACGATTTCTGATAAATATTGCGTTGATGACAAAGAGGAAATACGATTTAATTAAAACTAGCGGGTCCTTCTTTGGAGTTCTTTTAAGTGGGGATAGTCAAGGAAATCGATTTGGTAGCTGAATGCCCTAACTTTGGGGAGTAACATTCGTAACTACCCATCCCTTTTGAAACGAATTCAAGGCCAAAATTCAGGACATCTGGTGATTGATCCACAAAATACCCAGGCCGTGTACACAAATCTAAAGCATGACTTATGCAGGTTTGTATGCGTTTGTCTCTGTCATTTAAACCGTTTGATTGCAGAAATTAATTATTGAATTTTGAGGCTTGTTTCTTGTTTCCTTGATAGTGCACTAATTTATCTTGAGTTGAAACTGAATGATTTGATAAAAAAGGAAGATTAAATTTCTAGCTATACCGTGGGATAGTCGTGATAGTTAATCTTTTCTCGATTTTCCATCGGGCAATTAGCGTCTCCAGAAACTAATCCCTTAGTAACTGGCTCAGCATTCATCTGATGATGTTTGTCATGGCCGACATTTTTGTCAAAAAATTCTTTCTATAAGGATTTAGTGTCCAAGGAGGTATTGCATTAGCTTTGCTTTATCTTTTCGCCCACAAGAGAAACTTTGATGACAGCTGAAAAAGCCAGTCAAGCATAGAAATCCTCATATCTTTGCAAGGTCAGTTGACATTTAGTTTTTCTACATTTATTTCGTTCAAGTATATTTAATGCTTTTTGTCGAAGTTAGAAAGTGTGTAAATCAGAAAGATTTTAGGGATGGCCCTCGTTGGTATCAGAAATCTTGGCTGGCAGACTAATAAATCTAATGATCTGGTTGAATCTTGATTACGTACAAATTTTTAAGAAGGTCTCACTGGGGTTAGCCGTAAGCCGTAAAACGGCCGTAAAATTTGGCCGTTGGGCGTAAAAATTGAGAGAGTGTAACCGCTAGTCGTAAAAAAAGTTAAGTGATAACAAAGGAGAGATATTCACGCAAGAGTTGTCGTGTGTCCTAAGTTTTTGGTTTTATATCCGTTCACAGGATGGCACTGCACTCTGCTATGTCTTACTCAATGATGGTACTTTTACTGCTGATCAGTAGAAACACCCAAGGCAGACCTGCAGCCCCTCAATTCCCATTCAGTTCGCTCATTCCTACCACACTACCGCAAGGATGTGACATATACGGAGACCGAGTGTACCTTCCTGGGGAAGTCATAGCTGGCGATCCTGACGGCTGTTTTGCAGTGGTTTGTACAGAGCATGGAATACAGATTTGGGATGGAGATTGCCATACCTCCACCGCCAACCCGAGTCCTCCCTCCTCAACCCCTGCAACATTTGAAGTTGAACTCACAACCGAACGGCCCCCGCCAAGTTTTCCGGGGTTTCCATTTGCGGGCGTGTAAGGCTATCAAGGTTTATTTAGCATCGAGTAGAACGTTTCTCTTTATGATGCTAGGAATAATGTAGCTTAATTACTGATTAACTATGTATCAGAGGCGAAATACTGTGTTGCAATAAAAAGGGGAAATGAGAGGAATTCTCTTATCTGAGAACATTACAATCATAGAAAAATTGCGCACCCTCGTATGGCAGATAAATTCACTTCCCTTGAAGTTTACCTTGATCCATGTATATTCTTTGATCATCAGTTAGAATTTGGCGTTTTCAAAATTCGCGATCATTTTGTCTACCCTACCGATCCCCATAAATGGACGATGCATTGATATTTCAAGGGGAATTACATGTTTTGACCCAGTTATTAGAGATAACGGCGGTTTTTACCACTAGGTACTGCTCTACCTCCTGACCCGAACCTCAAAATCCCCACCCCTCCCTTCACATCTCTTCTGCATTCGCTGTTTTGCTTGTTGTCATAACAACCACTAATCTTACCGGCATATTCAAGATGGCGTCTCGCAGCGAAAGTCAAGAAAGCGGTGTGAACGAAGATTTGGATTCTGCAAATATCGTCAAGGTGGACGAACCTGTGGGTAACCTATCTAAATACTATGCCTTACCTCCTGGCTTTTCAGGGACGCCTAAAAAGGGGCACTTGATGTTCGATGCTTGTTTTGAAAGTGGAAATCTCGGCAGAGTCGACTACATTACGGAATTCGAGTACGATTTGTTTATTCGCCCGGACACCTGCAATCCTCGGTTTCGCGTCTGGTTTAATTTCACTGTGGAGAACACAGCACCTTATCAGCGTGTCATATTCAATGTCGTGAATTTCAGCAAGACCAAGAGCTTGTATCGCGAAGGAATGACTCCACTTGTTAAGTCTTCCAGTCGTCCAAAGTGGCAGAGAATTCCTGCTAAGAATTGCTTCTACTATCGTTGCCCTGACCACAGAAAAAACTATGTGCTCTCATTTGCGTTTGCCTTCGATAGTGACACGGATGTTTATCAGTTTGCCTACTGCTTCCCTTACACCTACTCTCGTCTGCAAACCTTCCTTGAGGAACTCGATAAAAAAAACATGGCGTGTTACAGAAGAGAGCTACTTTGTTTGACGGTTCAGCAGCGCAGAGTTGATTTGCTGACAGTTACTTCCCCAGAAAACATGAAAGATGATCTCAAAAAGAGGGTAATTTTTATCACTGCAAGGATTCATCCAGGTAAGCCTTTTATCTTGTTACGGCGGATTATCAAACTCAGTTGCGTGTACTTTACCCAAATACACCTGTAGTTAATAATCCTTTAGGCGAGAACAACGGGAACTTGTTTACAAATAGTATGTCCAACCCAGTGGGTCAGCATGTCCATGCCTATATGTCCATGATTTTAATGGTCAAATGTGGTGAAACTTGAAACCGACAAAAATTTTCCTTGCATATATATGTTAGTACTATTGATAGAAAGTAAAGAAAGCACATTAACATGTTGTTCTGGGTAAAAATATGAACCTTTGTTGTCAAAAGTTACTGGTAGCATGTGGAAATCACCAGTTTCCTTTCCTTTCCTTGGTCTCATTTTCCTCTGATCATATAGTAAATGATAGTAAGATAGCCACCCATTTCAACAATAAAGTGCTCCACTATCATCAGTAAGACCCTCTAACCATCATTTTTTTAGCCTGTGTGCAGGCTCTTGTGTTTGGATTTCACTATATGGTGCCGCTGCTATTGTATTATGGGTAGCCACTGATGAAAAAGAGTATTGAAATCATGGCACATATATATACCTCAAAACTGTTCAACAATTCTGTGGAAAGAAACAGTTAACTCCCTCCCTCCAAAAAAAAGTAGCAAGGAAGGTATGCACTGACCAAAATGCTTCATTTTCTCAATACTAAAATGGGCAAAGCAATTCTTTCTAAAGGGTGATTAAAGTTTAAAATTTATGATTTAACAAAGAATGCCTATGCCAACTTGGTTGAAGTAATAAGTGTACAGAATTTAGATTGATTCAAATTGAAGTTAGTATCAGAGAAATTATTATCGAAATAAGTTCAAATATATGCAAGTAGCATAATTAGTGGTAAGCATGAACCATGCAAATGCGAGCAATTTATCCCGCATGTAAAACTGAATTTTTGTCTGATCACTGAATGACAGATTGTTTGTTTTTGCCAGGGTTAAATTTTCTCCAGTTTACTTCCAAGTCTTATGTGCTCACTTTTCATGTAAGATGGTCATTAAAAGTCTGGCAAGCAGGCCTAAATACCTGAATTCTGGAAGGGGGGCTTTGGGTCTATTAGAAACTGCAAAACCATTGGAAGAATCATTCAAAACGGCAAGACTCTCAAAATTTCATGAATGATCAATTTTCACCTTATTTTCTTCCTCAATGCCAAATTTGTACTCCATTAGTGTGTGGCTTCATTAACTCACATGGAAAAGCATATCACCAAGTTGAATTTTGTTAGAACCCTATTCAAGGGGTGTACTTTCCCATCAATTTGTGCAATTTAACAACTCCTTCATGAAGTGAGTGATAAATTACCACTGATTAATAATCTGCCCATAAGGCTTTCCATGGCCCTTACAAAAGATTTCATAATACTTTAGCGTAGCAACTGATCTGAATGCTAGAGGGCCATGAAGTCTTGCAGATATTGTAGCACATACTGGTACATTAAAGACTTGGCTGAAAATACCAAGAATAATAATTACCTAGGCCTACCTAAAAAAAAAAAAAAAATACAAATGTTACAGAAGCACAAACACAATGACACAAATAAGAAGACACAGCACAACTTTTTATAATAGACAGGATGTTAGGTAATTGCAGATACTCCCCCCCCCTTTGATTTTTCAGCTTTTCCAGACAGTCCACCAGTACACATTCATACTTGGGGGGGGGGGGAAGAGAGGCACTGCAAGAGTGAAGTGTCTTAATCAAGAAAACATTACTGACCCTGGTTTAGTAATGCTTAAGCGCAGACCTCTTCAGCTAGAGTTGACACTAAGTCTCACCATTGAAGCATACAACTTAGGTTTCTGGTCAGCATATACCAAATCTTTGTTCGACCCTTTAAATCCCAAGGTCTGAGAGGTATTTCTCCCCTCAAGCTGCTACATAATACTTTGTAAATTAGTAAGGTTGGTGTTAGGTCAAGACAACAACTACCTGATAACTCTGAGTATTCTCACCATCCGTTTGCTGGATGATGTAAAGATATTATAGAGAGAAGTTACATTTTAATCACCTCTGAGAGTCAAAGGGTTAAACTGGTACTTTTGTTGTCTGTCTCAGGTGAAACTCCGTCGTCCTATGTCTGTCAAGGTGTCATTGATTTCCTTGTCAGTAGCCATCCAGTAGCCAAAGTGTTGAGAGACTACCTGGTATTTAAGATAGTGCCCATGTTAAACCCTGACGGCGTCGTCTTGGGTAACTACCGCTGCTCCCTGATGGGGTTTGATCTGAATCGCCACTGGCAGGAGCCGTCACCGTGGGCTCACCCCACCCTAGTAGCTTGTAAGAACCATTTAATGCAGCTGGATGAAGATGAAAATGTCCATCTTGACTTTTATATCGATATCCACGCGCATTCCACTATGATGAATGGTTTCATGTACGGGAATATTTACGACGAGGAGGAACGATTTGAAAGGCAAGCTGTTTATCCGAGACTTCTATGCGCGAACGCAGAAGACTTTTCCATGTCCAACACATCATTCAACAAAGATGCTGTGAAAGCTGGTACTGGGCGACGTTTTCTCGGCAGCTGCTTAGACCCAAAGACTCATTGCTACACGTTGGAAGTGTCGTTTTTCAGCTACAATACAGCTGTTTCACAAGGAATGTCGCCATACACCGAAGAAGGGTATTTCAAACTTGGCCGTAACGTAGCGCGTACCTTCCTCGACTATTACAAACTTAATTCGCTAGTGGTACCCACGAAGAAAAATGTGTCAAAATCCTCACAGAGAAAGGATTCTAATGGTGATGGGAAACAGAGATTGTCTGGCAGAAGTGACTACAGTGGGAAGCTGTGAATCAAAAAGTATCCAAAGTTTTTAATATCGTGTCATAAACTGAGAGGATGTTAGACCAAAAAGTGACATTTGGAAAGGCTCTGCGTTGTGACTCACAATCACTTCAAAGCTTAGATAGGTTTTTAGGGAAAAAAGTTAGAGTAATTTTATATTAATAGTTTATTATTTATTGTGATGATTCAATCACAAATGCGGAAAGATTACATTTTTGGTCTTTTTGCAGCAAGCACTTTTCCTTTGCATTGTCAAATTTAAATGCGTTGTTTTAACAACTAAGGATTTTGCCAGGGTTATGGTATTCAAGGTTAATTCCCTGCTGGCGAAGGTAAGATGCATCCCACCAGTCATAACTTGCCTGTAAAAGTTTTCTTTTTCCGTGGCAAAGACCCACATTATATTTATGTTCCGAGAAATTAATGACGTAAATAAAGGTAGCCCACGTTTAGCCGTACCCTCCTCCCGCGAGGTGAAACGTTTCACCTGGGGGGGGGGGGGTACGGCTACACATAGGCTAAAATAAAGGTAGATTGCTAATTTGATTTTTTTGGCTTCCTCGAGACTTTAAATACAGTAAAATCTATAAGCAGACTCGGGGGGCACTGGTACTAAGTTTGTTTCTTGAAAGCGTGATTTTAACCCGATCAGATTGAATATTTTACCCCAAAAGCGCTAAATCTTGTAGAGAAAAGTCATACTTTCTACTAGAGGATCCAAGAGTCCCCTAGATGTCCCCTTAATGCAGTTTTCACATTGTCACAGGAGTTTCCCATCTTTGACCGCGGCGAGTGAGTGCGAGAGAACATAATCTCTTGCTTAGTAAGTGTTGAGTGGACCCGCAAGGTCGAGTCGACGTTCGGAACGCGATTAAGAACGGCGAGATTATGGAAGCTCAAGGAAAAGGAACTTTGACTACTACGAATTGATTATTTGCTCTCGAAGAGATCCTTTTGAATCAAGCAGAACTGAAGTACTTTTCCAAGTATTTCACACATCCTGTTTACATTCTGACATTTCCTTTCCTATACGGATTATCTTGGGTGATGTTTTAGAATCCGGTGAGGATTTTAAAAACAGTCGCGTGAAGTTGTCACCGGAAGTTGTGAGCATGTTCCCACACTCTGTTTTCCGTCTCCGCAGTGAAGGTAATTTGATGACACTTTTAAGAAATGCGGCTACATTTTAATTTGACGGCCTCAACTCCTACCAGAACATTTCAGTCAATCCGTAGGCATTGATATTCCAATATTGCATTTTGACGTATGCCATCCTCTTTCAAATTTTTTTGACCTTTTCCCTTAATTTTTTTCTGCGTGGAATGTTCATCGTTTGCGGCTGAAGTATGTCAAACTAGAGCGCGGTCAGCCCACATCCGTTTTAAAAGAGCAATAAAAAATCATAGCAGTAGGATCGTCATCAGCTGACGATTCTCATTGTTCCGGCCAATTATCACATCATTTAGAAAGTTACATTTTAAAATAACAACAGATCTGTGTGCTGCAAATTAATCAACCAGGTAACTGATGATAAGATTTTTGAAGCGTATACAATTTTTTATTAAATTTGGGTTCTCTCACTTGTATGCTACTTGTTTTTGAACGCATAACTGAGAGACTCAGAGACAGTGGTCGGTGATGAACCATTAGTTACGAGGCTGGTAGCACATCCTGTCAACATTACAAGTAAGATAAACTACTCTAGTTTAGCAACGCCACAGTGACTCGACAAGGGCACGGCCTTGAGTACAGGGCGTGTCGGCCCAATAAGGAATTAGTGTCGAAACAAACTGAAGAGCTGTTCACTTGGCAAAGATATCAGCAAGACTGAAAGATTTATGATTGAAAGGAATCCGACAAACCACAAATCAAGGAGGTCACGTCCAATTTTCGAAACTCCGTACAGAAGAGGGTAAAAGGGAATCATGGATGTGGTCTTCCTGCTCTCTCGCCACTACTCCCATGGGGGTGACGAGAAATTATGTTTATCCTTCATGCACGAACATAGGCAGGGTTTGCTCATTACGATATCAGTTCATTCGAGCAAAAGGAAGGCGGATCAAAAGAATCTAAAGTATTTTATATTTACTCTTCAAATTTCCGTTTTGTTTTACATGGCTATTTTCTCTTGAAAAGCTTCTGTATTAAAGTAAGGCGAGCGAAGAATCTGTGATGAACGAAGAACTAAAGGATTTGCTATCAGAGTTTTTCCAAGTTAGTGGGGCGCTCAAAAGGCAAAGACCGTCAAATTATTTTCTGCAATGAAACCCAATGAAGTGGATCGCCATAAAGTTGTACGTCATGTATTGAGAACTCAGCCTAGCAAGGCAAAATCTCTTCAACCCTTTAACGCCCAAGATCTCAGTAGTAATTATCCTTACTGTCTGCTATAAAATTCTAATGATGCTAATTCTGAGAATCTGGAACTGGATCAACTAGAAAATCCTCAAATCATCATGTTTTCTTTTTTCTCATCACTCATCTGATTGACATTGTATTGATATTGTAAGGAGAAATTCTGTCTTGGTCACTCATGGGAGTTTAAGGGTGAAGGGAAAAAATCGTCATGAATGCATCAAAAGTTATCTCTAAAGATAAAACTTTTTGGCGTCAATGAGGATGGAGTATGAAGCATAAGCCCTTTAAAACCGCAATTTTGCGTCCGCAGCCAATTTGGAAAATGTAATCTTGACACTTGCCACTATTATCACTATGAACCCCCTTGGGACTGTTGCTTGGACTTCTTCTGATTCTTCAGACATCTTGGTTCTTGTTTCTCAACCTTTCCAAGGAATTTGCTTAAAACAAAAAAAATTTTCATAGGTTTGACGAGAACTTGTTCCAAATGTCGAGGTCTTGAAAGATTCCAAAAATAGAATTTATGCAATAGATAATCCAGTCGTAATGACTCACATTCGACATTTGATAATTTAAGACGACCACGAGACTTAAAGGCGCTGGTACTCTGGTGGAACAGATTACAAAATTATGGTCTAAGTTTTCCCAGATATGGAGTGCAATGAAAAGAAAATAAGTCGATAAAAGATGTAGAGGTTGGTTTTGAAGATATCAGAATAATAAAGAAATTTGCAAAATAAAAACAACCAGGACCTTTTGATCTTTGTTTTTATAAGTGCGTTGACGTTCGTTGATTTTCATTGAGTAAAGTCTAAACAGCAGGCGCCGAAGGGAAGCTGGTGTCAAAATTATGATAAATGATTCTCAAATCGATGACGTAGGTAATGGCTTTTCCCTGCCTAAAGACCGCTCGTTTAAATTAAGTCAAAGGGGCGTCTAAATGATTCGCGCGGTTTGACCACAAACAATAATTATTCAATTAACACATTTTATCAAAATTTTTATGGCACGTTCAAAACGTGGCAAAAGCTTAGTAAAGAGCTTCTATTTTCATGTATAACATGTAATAATTAAGCCTCCTTTCCATATTTAATCCAACGGCTGCATTGAATAACTCATCATGGCCGCTTTTGCATGAAATTCAAAACGATTGTTATTTTGCTAATATATGTTTCGGGTACGTGCGTAGGTGTGTTATAATCTGACCGGAGACGAGTAATTTTTACAAAAATCTAGCCATTTTCTGTGAAAACGACATATCATGCCGCCTTTATCCAAAATTTTTAATTTAACTGCAGGACTCTCTATACGCACTTAATTTACAAGGCCTAGAGGACACAAATAAAGAAAAAGAAAATGTAAATACCAGTGCCGTTAAGATAATTTTTAAAATTGACTCGCGTTGCTGAGTAGGTCTCTCTATCCCTTTCGTTAATAAACTTTACGAGCCGCGGCAAAGAATATTGTACGGAGGCGCGAAAAAAGTTATGGAAATCAGATTTTCCTTTTTTTAATAAATAGTTAGAAAAGGCTTGATGTTCTTTACCAAAGCCGCCTAAGGACACAGAAAAATTGCACAATGGATACCGATGCAGGAGAGAGGTGGAAGTGCTAATTTGCGTTGTTGTACGGTGACTTCCCTTGATATTTAAATTAAATTGTCGGAAGATTATTATATTTTTTTTTGTCATGAGACTTTTTAATCTCGTGCGGCAGCTCATTTAATAGTGAGATGCCGCATAAAAACCGCTAATTTTTTTGAACTGAAAGCGATGTCAGGCGGTTTGTGTTCGGTGTAAAATCATGAACCAAGATTGTAAGATGATCAGTAATTGTTTTATGTTTAGTTTATTTGGGGTTTGTTGCCATTATATCTGCTCAAACTCCGGCAAATGCTAACTGATACACAATTAATTTCGTTTAGGATCATATGATTCCCTGAACCTAAATAACGTGCTAAGATTTCTTTTACACTTCTTACCGGCAGGTCAAAGACCGTGTGCTCTGCATTCTTACGATCATCCACCAAAATAACTCAAAAAAATTTACACAACATATTAATGAACGATCAACATGTACATCTATTCAGTAAATATCTTAATAACGTGAATATTTTTACCTTTAACTTAGTATACATGGGATAAATAATGTCATAATTTATCATACTCTCTGTCAGTCAACCCTTCGCACATGTGATTTGTGAACTGACTTATTCAAATCGCTTCGAGATACTTTACAATAACATATACATGATCTAGTCTGTGAAAATCAGCAAGACTTCTTGTCTATGTCAGAGCCCCATCTCTTTGAACCTGTTATTAACTACTAAAGTTTTCCTCAGTTCTAAGAGAGAGGTACTTCTAGATCTAAACGCAACAGCAGTGTTGCGCTCAATCTCTTTACAAATTCCCATTCTTCTTTTCTCCCAGCTCTCTCTTCTTGGCACTGCAATCGAATCACAATCTTCTTCGTCACTCTCTTCGCATCGTTCGTAATCGAAAACGTGCTCCTCTTGTTTTGTTCGTTTTAAACAGAACCGAAGTTTCCTTTGACCCTTTTTCAATTCATTCTCGCTTAGAGACAGACAGTCCAAGCGAGGCAAACTCGTGTAAGGGGCAGTTTTTCCATCTGTCTTACAATTCTTGCAAAATACCTTCGAGACGGACTTTCGGATCCTTTTCCACACGTCCTCTTTGCAATTGGTCACTGCATGTGGTTTGCTTGTCTTGTTGATTCTATCAGTTTTCTCGTTGATCTTGCTTCGTCCCTCAAAACAATCCCCGCGCTGGAAGTGAAAAACATTATCCCATGTTTGATTCGTGGCCGATTTTCTTCTGATGTGCATTTTTTGACCGTATTTAGGAATTACTGGTTGAGGTCTTCCGTTTGGAACAGTTAGTGACAAAAATACTTTCGAGCCTACATGTCGCAACTTTTATACAGCAAATACCGGGAATGCTTTGTTTTTGAACAAGTAATTGAAGACGACTTCCGTTTTACAAGAAGAGATGAAAGCTTTTCTATGGGAGCTTTTTTTGGGCGAACCGGACGCCTTTGGTGTAAGTCACTTAACACCTTTATTTTGGAAAGATCTTTTGATTGAGGCGTGGAAGCCATTAACAGTTTCTCAAGGACTTTATTTGAATAGTTTGTTTATAGTTTATTATGAAAAGTAAACATCATTTTTGGGTTAGCCAAGGAGAAGTAAACATTGACGCATTTCCTTGGGCAAAAGTAGGTTTCCTATCTCAAATTTGCGGAAATACCGGTAACCAGGAACTTTTTCCTCTGTAAACAAACATCTCTGTTTTTGACAAATAACAAGACTGACGAAATAGTCCATTGGCACACGAGTAGAAATTACTCTTCGAGGTTAGAGCCCTGATGACAGATGAAGCAGGTAAGGTCACTTTGCTTCAGACATCGCATAAATGACGTGTTTGTGATGAAAGAAGACTGAGTAAATAGCAGAGGGAAACAGATAATGATGTATCATTTGTTGTTATTAAAGCACGGGTCAAGCCATTAGTGCTTTTATCATCATTTAAAAATTCTGTGTCGCAAGCCTAGACCACACGTATCGCTTGAATAAACAAAAACATCTCCACAATGTAAATTAAAAACTTCTACCTTGCTCTGGTGCGACATAACCACGCACGCTAATCGGTGTATCTCATCATTTTATTTCTATTCTATAAAACTTTTCTTCAGAACAGGGATGGCAAAAGCATCTTACTCTATCCCTCTAAAATTAGTTTTTTTTTCTTTGCGAGAACATGTTAGTATCGTGGAAAAGAGTTTTATCGAATGAAAGTCTTAAAAAAAAAAACTGGAAAAGAGAGAGAGCGCGCGCGCGCTAGTATGATCCTATACAAGTCAGACTGTAAGTTGTTTCAGGCTCTCAGCATGGCGATGAGTGAAAAGCGTGGTAGCGCCAAAGACTATAGCAGTTTTCAGAGAAGCGACTGTGAAACGATTTCCTCGTTTCATTCTGCTTTCCCCTCTCTTCCCCGACTAGCGTAGTTTCCGCGCTGCTGCTCCTTTCCACTGACTGTGGATATCCTCGCATAGGCTAGCCAAACGATCATTTTTGGTCAGTTTCAGTTCAGAAGTCACGACCAGTTATTTAACTGTACTTTTACGACATAATTCGTAATTTTTAAAAGACATCGAAGGTGAATTTTGAATTTTATTTAATCCACCAGAGTTTGACAATCATTCTTATCCACCTCGGATGTTATATTCTGCATCCTCGCACTTGTAACGTTTATGATCTCTGCAACTTTTTCTGAGAAGAAAAAGATGATATACTTTCTTTCCTATTGAATTTATTTTGCTCATTCTTCGACTATTTTGAGGGTATTCTCGTCAACAGGATATATTTTGTTGTTATTGCTTTAAATCTGGATGGTTTGCGACCCAAATAATCTTCTTATAATTTCTTAACCCTTTCCACTTTAACATCAGTAAGCATAATCTCCATACTATTTTCTATACATTTCCTAAAGTGCTGGCAAGGAGAATTTGTTTAATAATCAATAACTTCTTTGGTTGATGATCATTTCCTTATTCTCGCGACTCTAATGTGTGATTCAGGGGTAATAATTGTTATGAGAAATTAGATGCTGATGCATGTTTTCGCCGGCTAACGAAGACAGACGGTTGCGCTAGTCGGTGAAAGTATTGACGTATGAATTGGTGACATCTTGGAATGGCTATAATCAGCATGGTTACATTTTCTGAGAAGCACTTTGACTCTTTCCTAAGAGTGATTTGTATCTAATTTGCCCTTACTAACAGTAAAACTGCTGAATCATTCATTAACTCTTTAACTCCCATGAGTGACCAAGACAGAATTTCTCTTTACAATATCAATACAATATCAATCAGACAGGTGATGAGAATGTATAAAAGTGTGAGTTTGACTTTATTTCATTCGAATTTCCTGGGTGGGTAGTGTCCCTGTAGATCAGTGATGACGTCGTTGTTCAGCGGCGAGTGACGTAGTTGTTCATCACTTGCCGGCCGGGTGGTCCAATGTTTACATAGGTGTGTTTGCATATTCTGCTTCCATTTCGTGTTTATTACGCCGATAGTTAGTTAAGCCGGTTATCTCACTGGTCATGCGCAGTTTCCAAGAGATTGAACACGCGTTAACTGACAAGGATGGCTTTAGTAAGCGTCCAAATCGTCCTCGACCATTCAAAGCTAACTTGCTAGGAGGGATTGTATTTTTAAAGAAAGGTCTTCTTTATGAATTTTGTCTTATTTGGTATTTTTCCTTTTTCCTTTACGATTCTTTTAATCATTTAGCTGTCGGATTGTGGCTCAAAAAGTAGAGAGAGGTGCTTGTTTTTCTCAGACAAACGCTTCTCTTTGCAATAAAATCAGGAACGGAAATCAGTGGCGAAGGTGTACTTTCCATTATGGCTCGACTCAACTAGTTACTCATTTGGCTTTGCTGTTTTCTTTTTTCCTTTTCTCAGTATTACTATGAATACACGTTGACTTAAAGATGTGGAGAAATAAATTAAAACATGTAGCAGCAAATGGCTCGAGACATCACACGACTGTCAGTTTTAGACGTTATAAGTCAGCAATTAAAAAAAAAAAGTGTTATCGAAACTTGATATGGAATTAGCGCATTAAACACGGAAAACAAATTCATTTTCAGAATTTTTCAGTTTCGGCACATATTGTCAAACTAAGCTTTACTTGATGTTCCACACGAATAGAGAAATTTCTCTCAGTAATCAGATCAGTTTATGCACATGTAAACATTTTCACCCGGTATGCAAGTAAGTAACTGTACGTAGGACGGGTTTTCGAGCTTGTCCTCTCGGTGCTTGGCTACGTTGAAGTTTGAATCGGGAATCACGCGTCGAAACAAAAACTTGACGGTTCTGAATAGCGTAATGATTTTTACAAAGCAACTAGACAAAAATAATGACATTCAGTTCTCATAGCTACATCAGCTCTGGCAGCTATATAAAATTTTCTTGATTGTAGCAGATTCATTCCGGCCCTGGACTGATAGTGCCAATTACCACGACCACCAATCGAACTGAGGTATTTTGGTCCCCTCCAGATGTATTAATAAAGAAACAAAGCTATACTCAGCTTCGAAAATGAAGGTAAAATATATTGCTTTTGATTGGTTGCAAGCAACGTGATTAAACCGAAAGATCAGGATTTCCCTTGGTATAAAAATCGTCTACATGGCCACTGCCAAGAGATTGTGAACTTCTTCTTTTGTCAGCTCTCTTTCGACGAATATTAATGTGGGAAATTTAATGCAAATGATTCAAGCCATGGTTCCAAACTGCTGAAGGGACTTTTGACCATGTATTTCACCCGAGCGGAATTTATTCCACCTGAGTATGAGATCTAGTAACTAGTCACCCCGACTTCCGCTTTCGACTGAAATCTAAAGACTTTGCAGACTACGTTAGCGACACCGAACATCTATACTTTTACCTGCTCGGAAAATCTTCAAAATGGCTGCAATGAAAAGAGATTTACCTTCGCTGGAAAGGTATTTTTCGACGGAGTTGGAAACTTTACATGCAAACGATCCAAGCCACGGCTGTAATCTTCTGACCATGTACAAAGATGGCAGATATTCTGATGTCACTTTGAAGGTCAGTGAAGACCGACGGCTTTCAGCTCATCGTGTTGTTCTGGCCTCTTTTAGTCCTTACTTTGAAGCCTTGTTCGGGAAAAACTGGGACGATGGAGAGAAAAAAGAGATAGAAGTTCTTGGCTTTGACGAGAATGCTGTCAGCGATTTGATCGAATTCGCATATTCGGGCGAAATTGACATCAGCAAAGACAATGTGCAAACTTTGCTCGAGGCATCCAATTATTTGCAGGTGGAGTTTGTCAAGAAATCGTGCGGAGATTTTCTGAAAGGTGCAATTAATGATAAAACTTATCCTAGCATCTGGCGGCTTGCTGATTTGTTTGCGCTGGAAGAGCTAATGAAGGAGGCTAAAAAGCACTTTTTGCTGCATTTTACTGAAGCCACTCGGATGGAAGAGTTTTTGTCGCTTCCAATTGGTTTCCTGAAAGAGGTTCTTGCTGACGAAGGTATCTGTGTGGTTATCGAGAGCCTGATTCCGTCCCAAGAGGAAAGGGAAAAGGTCGTGCTGGAGGCCGTTTTGAAGTATGTTGAGCATGATATCGACAACCGAAAAAGGCATTTTACCGAATTGTTATCCTTGGTACGACTCCCAACTTTATCAGAGTCTTATCTGGAAGAAATCTCGGAACACAAACTTATTATAGACTCCAGCAGAGGAATCATTTCAAAGGCTCGGAAGTTGAAAATTGATTCCCCCGAGAAAGATTCAGCCGATGAAATGTGGGCGACCACTCGGGCGTTTGCCAAACCTGCTGTCAGTTGGGGGCGTTCCTTTGCTAATCGTGGCAACGTACATCCTGAAACATCTCATTACAACAACAAAGAGGCTGCTGAAGATCTTGGCAGTGACGTCTTCATAAAGGGAATGAAACTTTGGATTCGACGCTGGCATGGGAATGGGACGCCTATCCTGGGAGGGCTGAAGATTTTTTATAATCATGATGGTGACCAAGAGATTACGATGGGAAGTGACTCTGATCAGTCCGAACACCATGAATTTCACTTGGAAAAAAATGAAAGGATCGTCAAAGTTGATGTTAATTCTGGATGTATGATTGACCGCCTCTCCTTTTACACCAACAAGAAAGATGAAAATGGTGACCCTAAATGTTATGGTCCTTATGGAGGGAATGGTGGAAAGTTTTACACTGAGACTCCACCAGGGTCGTACGGTTTCCTGGCCGGAATTAGTGTTGTTGACTCACGGGGTGACGGTATCACCAGACTTCAGTTTGCTTGGAGGACATATGTACTTCCTGGTGACCCAGAGCCAAATGGGTAATGTACAACAACTATTATCTGAAGAAAAATTACACATATTTAAAAACTAATGACAACATATCATTAAAGTAGCCTCGTGTTTTTTATTGTGATTCTAAAAATAGACGATTTAATTTAAACATTTGCCATGATTTTTCCTGTTGTTACCTGACTTTGAATACAAAATGAATTTATTTTCCATTTTTCATTATGATAACTTTTCTGTCCATTTAAGTAAGTACTGCTTCTAGAGAGTTGATCCAATATCAATTTGTGTACTTTATATGTGATTGGTTACATGATACAAAGTGTGGCCATTAAAGGGTAACTGACGGCTAAAAGGTCACTTTTTGGGAATACCGTCTAAATGCTTCAGGTATCACATAGAAACAGATACAAGAAGCTTCTTTGAGTTTTCTTTTTCCGGCGGGAAAACTGTCCCAAAATCCAGCTTAGCCGCAATCGCTTCGATTTTGATCATGTGACCCTATACGTCACACGTGTGTTCTTTAGCAAATTAAATATGGCGGATAGTACCTCGTTTGAAAGCAGTTCGATTCCGGGGTCTGAGTATTTGGATTTTAAGGCCTCGATGGAAGGTGAACATAATGAAAGGGTTTATGAACTTGTTAGTAAAATCAGGCTGTCGCGATTTCCATTCTCAGGACGAACCTAGAAGAGACTGCGAGAGTCAGAAGAGGATCATTGGCCGTGCGCCGCGGCCGCCTCGATCAAGAAAGCGAGAATGGTGAGTGCATTTACGCTTGTAAATAAAGTATCTGAAAATGACTCGCTTATTAAATATAGGAGCGATCAAGTAAAGAAAACCAATTGTGCAGACTCTTGAATACCATGGGAGCGAAGAGTTTTTATGCTACACGCACGCACTTTCCGAAGCTAAGTTTTCACTGACTGAAAGATAAACATACACGCTTTTTGAGGTGAATTGGATGGATTGTACACGTTTCCACGCGATTGAATCGGTTTTAAGTTCTCCTGTGTTGAATTTGGCGAACGAGTTAAGATTTCTCGGCTTTTACTTTAAAACACGATGCAGCAGAAAATAGCATCGGCATATGTAGAATTGAACATCCTCTTAATATTAACTTATTGTTTAATTGTGGTCTTTGCACCTTGTTTGTTGCCTAAAGTTTGAGTTATCTCTCACGTTTGTGACAGTTACAGAGTTCATAACTGTTCCTTTTGGTCAAACCAATCATACAAGTTGTGCTCTCTATTCTTCTATTCAACATCGTGAAAAAAATTGCTACTGATTTTATTTCAAGGTGTCATTGTGGAAACTGCCAATCAGTGTGAAGGGAGAAAGAAAACATCTTTAGCCAAAAAGTAAATGTGGTAAAAAATAAAAATTTGGAGGATGTTACAGTGGAACAGTTTGATAAGGCAGAAGAATTTGGTGCTTAAATGTCTTAACAATAACTGGCAGACCCTTAATTTTCATTACCAGACTGTTTGACAGTGCCTTGAAATAGCAAGCAGAATTTTGTTTGGGACTGATCTCACCTCCAAAGGTACTTGGGAATAATGAATGTGACCCAGGTTTTTTTTCTAATCTGGTGAATTTTTATCCTGGGTTCACTGCCTACAATACCTATAGTTATGTTACCATAACAGCTTAACTCTGACCTACACTGATCATGTTTGGAACAACCTAATCCAGAAAATTTTATGTCCAGCTTGCATACCACAGCTTTTTGTTTGTGTTCTGATGCAATGCCAACAGGGAGAACAAACTCTCCAGTTACCATTGATAGTAACTAGTTTAGAAAAAAGGATAATGTCTTTGTCTCAAAGTGATTCCTCAGAAAAATCAAAGTGCTCTGTGAGCAAACTCATGAATTGGCAGATGACTTACATGATTTTTTTGGATTATGTTCAATGTTATCTGGTTAAAGGAATTTTGTGATTGATTGTCTTATTTAAAGTACGAGCAGTAGTCCAGTGTTCACTAATGTAGCAAAGAAACAAAGTAATGTTGGGATAAGAAGGCATTACAACTGAAATGATCATGCTATTACATTTGACAAGGGTGGATGATGTCATGTGTTTTAAACATACATCATTTTTGTTTCTGGTTCAAGAAAATGTTGGAAGTAAATGTGGGTGAAAAGTGAAATTTACTATCTATCATAGTAAATATGGGAAAATCAAGGCAATATTGTCTTAATGAAAACATTAATGATTCCCTCTTTATATTTGGAAAAAACAGGAACAAGTCAGGAATCGAACCAATCAAGCAAGCGAGCGAGTGCTATTCTCCACATCATATCTACAACTCACTCTTGCGCGTGCGTGCAATTCACAAGTTAAAAAGTTAGCGAACAATTGTTTTATACTCTCCTTAAATATTCTTTACCATTGGCTTGAAAATTTACAATAAAAAAGATAGTTTGCCATGCTTGTTTTATTAAGAGGGCATAGTTCATTTTGCAGAAGTTGGAAGCAAGGGTTTTTAAAGTATGAAATGTTTGCTTCCACCAGGGTTAAAGTGATCCCACAAAAAATAAGTTATCAAACAATTTATTTATACTCTCCTTAAATGTTCTTTACCATTGGCTTGAAAATTTACAATAAAAAAGATAGTTTGCTGTGCTTGTTTTATTAAGAGGGCATAGTTCATTTTGCAGAAGTTGGAAGTAAGGGTTTTTAAAGTATGGAATGATAGAGAACAATTCGATATATAATTTGTGGAAAAATCAAGATTTTAAACAACATTGACTTGAAAGATTCTCAAATCATCTATGTCAAGGTCATAATTTGCTTCAATTAATTGGCTTGATGGGCAATGCAATTCTAAGGAATCACCTGAAGTGACTTATCACACCTGTATAGCTTGTATTTAGTCATATAACTGATTGTTCTATTGTACCTAACCCTTTCACTCCCAGTGATGACCAAATTTGAATTTCTCCTAACAGTTCCAATCAAGTTTCAGGCAAAAGGTTCTTGAGAAGAAAGAAACATGTCAATTAGCAGACACCCTCTGATTTGACACTAAATTTTCTGAGTGAAAATGTTTTGAAATGTAGGGCAGACAGTGTGGAGAATTGAAATTTAGATCTGAGGAGTGAGAGGGGGAATGGTTGCCAGACCCTTCATGATTAAAAATTGTCAAACACCTAAGCTCACTTCATATGCTTTACCTCTCAGCTGCTGCACTAGAACTTTTAGAAATGCATTAAGTATTAATTACGTGTTTTTGTTATTTCTTTTTTCTAGGTAGAAATACTTAATGTGTTGTTTGAGTATGTGGTACTTGCGAAGGACTTTTTAAGGACGATGTAACCAATGGATCCACTGAAACTAGTTTAAATTTATGGCCAGAAATACAAAACTATTTTTGCCAGTTATCTATTGGAGGGCATTCATCACAGAACTTTTTCTTAAAAATACTTTGTAAATGTTGAGAACCAACATTATGTGTTACAAATTTTGTATATTCAGGACCTTAAAAGTCAAATTTGTGTTCTATAAAATTATCATGATCACAGTGATTTTTCAAATAATTTTCTGTCAATGATAGGTTGAGAGCTTGAGTCAAAAGTTGGCCCCTTCATGATGTTTGGATTGTTTTTCTGGTGGAAGCAAACATTCATTTGGGCTTTGGGATGCAGGCCTTGTTATAAGTTCATAAGTCAAGTTCAGCCTTTGTGTGATGGACCTTGTGCTAGGGGTTGCAAGTCAAAGTTTTTCTTTTGTTTAACTGTTCAGTAATAGATCACAGATGGTGTCAAAATGTGTCAAGGACAAGAAAAGTGGCACATGAGGTGCATAAAAATAATTGATAAAATCTGTTATTAAAAATATTAACTGAGAGGCCAGACAAATTTTCCCAGGCAGGGACTGTAGGTGTTTTCATGCAATTATCAGAATATATAGCTACTTCAGAAATCTTTGACAGGGAACTTAAGCTTTCTTGGGAAAGTGTGAAAGCTGTATTTATAGTTGAAAGAACTCAAGACCTGTAGGTTAAAGTAGATGGGACGGTTAAAATGTGCTTGAATCTACTATTTCCCACTTTGGGGAAGTCTTACTTAAGTTGGATAAGCAGCCTTTGTGTGATGGAACTTTAGCTAGGGGTAGCATCAACTCTTCACTGTAACAGAATTCTTATAAAATAGACATACTCTGTGAGTGATAATGGGAGATGTGGTTGTAATGGTTATGCTGAAGAACTTTTTGTTGCACAATGTCTACACCAGGTCTCTGATTCCATGTATCCAGCATGGTACTAATCATGTTTGGAACAACTGAATCCAGAAAATTTTATGTCCAGCTTACATAGCACAGCTTTTTGTTTGAGTTCTGATGCAATGCCAACAGGGAGAACAAACTCTTCTGTCACCATAACACAACTATATTATGCCTAGTTATTTAAATAATTTATTACCGGTAGTTAGAAATTCAGAAATTCATAATCAAGCCACTAGACATTCAAATATCAAGTCTGATGTGCCCTAAGGATAAACGAAAATCAGAAGTAGGTCATACTTTCACTATTAGGACTATAAAGGACAGGAATTGTATGAATGCTAATATAAGAAATAATGGCCCACTTGCAAGTTTTAAGCACCATGTTTTTAAATCCTTTCTAGCTGAACAAAAGGCTGCAATGTGCCTTAGACCATAATTTTGTATATATGAATTATTTCTTATATTTTATCTTTTTAATATGGTATATATTATTGTTATTAGTTGTGGCATCTATATTTTGTAATTGTTTGAGGGCCACAGAGTCATCAGTGTCTTTGGGCTTCTGTTAAGTGTTTGTTACCCTCTCTAAATAAAGCCTATTATTATTATTATTATTATTATTATTATTATTATTATTAGTGTTATTATTACCATAGATTATCTAGTATAGAAAAAACGGATAATGGTTAACATAAGACTTTGTCTTAAAGTGATTCCTCAGAAAAAAAAAAGATATCAAACAATTTTTTTAAACTTTCCTTAAATGCTCCCTCTCATTGTTTGTTTTGAAAAATACAATAAAAGAGATAGTTCAGTGTGCTTGTTTAATTAACTCTTTAACTCCTAAGAGTGACTAGCATCTAATTTCTCCTTACAATATCACCCCTGAATCATGCAGTATCATCATCATCATCATCATCATCATATTTTTATTTGCCTTATTTACATAATACAAAAAAAAAATTTATTTACAGCGGTTATAGCTAGAAGGCGAGGAGACCCAGGAAGCCACCGGGCTTATGGGAGAGCCACCTCACTTACATTAATAAATTAAGTAAAGAAAAAGTGCTGCGAATGTGCGGCTAGGCCAACTCAAGGATTATTTAAGTAAAAACTCTTGCATTTTCGTCTTAAAACTAAGAAGGTTTGACGAACGAGTGACTGAAACAGGAAGAGAGGTCCAAATTTTAGGACCTTGGTAAAGAATTGTAAATTGCTTGAGATTTGTACGGCACAAATGCGTTCGATAATTACTGGCTGTTCTGTTACCATAGTTGTGAATTTGGCTATTTGTTACAAAAAATCTCCTTGTCGGTACCTTAGGAAATGTTTAGGGAACAGTATGGGAAATACCTTAACTGATATTAGGGTATAAAAGGTTAAGAGGTACCGTGCTCTTTCAAGAGCTAAAGACCATGGTACCTCTTTTTCATTTGTTGAAAAACAACAACGTGTTTTAAGAATGCACGCGCTTATTTGCTTATTTATTGGTTTATGTGAGGTTTATGCACAGTACAGTACAGGCATGGAGAATTTGTTTACCGATCAAGAGTTTCTTTAGTCGGTGATCATTTCCTTTGTTCTCGTGACTTAAATGTGTGATTCAGGGATAATAATTGTTATGAGAAATTAGATGCTGATGCATGTTTTCGCCGGTTAACGAAGCCAGACGGTTGCACTAGTCGGTGAAAGTATTGACGTATGAATTGGTGACATCTTGGAATGGCTATAATCAGCATGGTTAGATTTTCTGAGAAGCACTTTGACTCTTTCCTAATAGTGACTTGTATCTAATTTCCCCTTACTAACAGTAAAACTGCTGAATCATTCATTAACCCTTTAACTCCCACGAGTGACCAAGACCGAATTTCTCCAAGCAATATCAATACAATATCAATCAGACAGGTAATGAAAATGTATAAAAGTGTGAGTTTGACTTTATTTCATTCGAATTCCTGGGTGGATAGTGTCCCTGTAGATCAGTGATGACGACGGGTTTTCGAGCCTGTCCTCTCAGTGCTTGGCTACGTTGAAGTTTGAATCGGGAATCACGCGTCGAAACAAAAACTTGACGGTTCTGAATAGCGTAATGATTTTTACAAAGCAATTAGACAAAAATAATGACATTCAGTTCTCATAGCTACATCAGCTCTGGCAGCTATATAAAATTTTCTAGTTTTGATTGTAGCAGATTCATTCCGGCCCTGGACTGATAGTGCCAATTACCATGACCGCCAATCGAACTGAGGTATTTTGGTCCTCTCCAGATGTATTAATAAAGAAACAAAGCTATACTCAGCTTCGAAAATGAAGGTAAAATATATTGCTTTTGATTGATTGCAAGCAACGTGATTAAACCGAAAGATCAGGATTTCCCTTGGTATAAAAATCGTCTACATGGCCACTGCCAAGAGATTGTGAACTTCTTCTTTTGTCAGCTCTCTTTCGACGAATATTAATCTGAAAATTTTAACGCAAAAGATTACAGCCATGGTTCCAAACTGCTGAAGGGACTTTTGACCATGTATTCCACCTGAGTGTGACATCTGGTAACTAGTCACCCCGACTTCCGCTGTCAACTAAAATCTAAAGACTTTGCAGACTACGTTAGCGAAACCGAACATTTAAACTTTTCTCTTCTCGGAAAATCTTCAAAATGGCCGCAATGAAAAGAGGTTTACCTTCTCTGGAAAGGTATTTTTCGACGGAGTTGGAAACCTTACATGCAAACGATCCAAGCCATGGCTGTAATCTGCTGAAGGGGCTTTTGACCATGTACAAAGATGGCAGATATTCTGATGTCACTTTAAAGATTAGTGAAGACCGACGGCTTTCAGTTCATCGTGTTGTTCTGGCCTCTTTTAGTCCTTACTTTGAAGCCTTGTTCGGGAAAAACTGGGCCGATGGAGAGAAAAAAGAGATAGAAGTTCTTGGCTTTGACGAGAATGCTGTCAGCGATTTGATCGAATTCGCATATTCGGGCAAAATTGACATCAGCAAAGACAATGTGCAAACTTTGCTCGAGGTATCCAATTATTTGCAGGTGGAGTTTGTCAAGGAATCGTGCGGAGATTTTCTGAAAGGTGCAATTAATGATAAAACTTGTCCTAGCATCTGGCAGCTTGCTGATTTGTTTGCGCTGGAAGAGCTAATGAAGGAGGCTAAAAAGCACTTTTTGCTGCATTTTACCAAAGTCACTCGGATGAAAGAGTTTTTGTCGCTTAAAAGGTTTCCTGAAAGAGATTCTTTGATGAAGGTATTTGCGTGGTTATCGAGAGCCTGATTCCGTCCAAAGAGGAAAGGGAAAAGGTCGTGTTGGAAGCTGTTTTCAAGTATGTTGAGCATGATATCGACAACCGAAAAAGACATTTTCCAGAATTGTTATCCTTGGTACGACTCCCAACTTTATCAGAGTCTTATCTGGAAGAAATCTCAGAACATAAACTTATTGCAGACTCCAGCAGAGTAAGCATTTCAAAGGCTCAGAAGCTGAAAACTGATTCCCCCGAGAAAGATTCAGCCGATGAAATATGGGCGACCACTCGGGCGTTTGCCAAACCTACCGTCAGTTGGGGGTGTTCCTTTGCCACTGGTGGCTACGTACATCCTGAAACATCACATCACAACAACAAAGAGGCTGTTGAAGATCTTGGCAGTGACGTTTTCATAAAGGGAATGAAACTTTGGATTCGACGCTGGTATGGGACGCCTGTCCTGGGAGGGCTGAAGATTTTTTTTAATCATGATGGTGACCGAGAGATTATGATGGGAAGTGACTCTGATCTGTCCGAACACCATGAATTTCACTTGGAAAAAAATGAAAGGATCGTCAAAGTTGATGTTAATTCTGGATGGATGATTGACCGCCTCTCCTTTTACACTAACAAGAAAGATGAAAATGGTGATCCTAAATGTTATGGTCCTTATGGAGGGGATGGTGGAGGATTCTACACTGAGACTCCACCAGGGTCGTACGGTTTCCTGGCCGGAATTAGTGCTGCTGTTGTTTACTCACAGGGTGAAGAAGGTATCACCAGACTTCAGTTTGCATGGAGGGCATTTTGATGACAATATATCATTTAAGTAGCCTCGTGATTTTTACTGTGATTCTAAAAATGGACGAATTAATTTAGAACATATACCATAATTTTTTCTGTTGTTACCTGACTGAATACAAAATGAATTTATTTTCCATTTTTCATTGTAATAACTTATCTGCTCACCAAATTAAGCACTGATTCGAGAGAAGAGATTCAATATCAATTTGTGTACTTTATATGTGATTGGTTACATGATACAAAGTGTGGCCATTAAAGGGTAACTGACGAACTGATGGCTAAAAGGTCACTTTTTCGGAATATCGTCTAAATGCCTCAGGTAACACATAGAAACAGATACAAGAAGCTTCTTTGAGTTTTTTTTTCCCGCCGGGAAAACTGTCCTAAATGCAGGTAATTTAGTGTTAACAACTGAGTTGAAAACGTAAATTAGCCACTGTAAAGGGTAAAAAAGCTGACGTTTAGAGCGTTAGCCCTTCGTCAATCGCAATGAAAAATACTTTGTGAATGTTGAGAACCGACATTTTGTGATAGAAATTTTGTGTATTCAGGACCTTAAAAGTCAAATTCTGTTTGTTTGTGTTCTATCAAATTATGATTATCACAGTGATTTTTCAAATAATTTTCTATTGATGATAGGTTCAGAGCTTAAGTCAAAAGCTAGCCCCTTGACAATGTTTGGGTTGTTTTCCTGGTGGAAGCAAACATTCATTTGGGCTTTGCAATACAGGCCTTGGTATAAGTTCATAAGTCAAATTCAGCCTTTGTGTGATGGACCTTGTGCTAGGGGTAGTAAGTCAGAGTTTTTCTTCTGTTTATCTGTTCAGTAATAGATCACAGGTGGTGTTAAAATGTGTCAAGGACAAAAGAAGGTGGCACATGAGGTGCATAAAAATCATTTGATAAAATCTATTATTAAAAAATTACACTGACCAGCGATACAAATTTTCCTGGGATGGTACTGTGGGTGTTTTCATGCAATTATCAGAATACATAGCTACTTTAGAAGTCTTTGACAGGGAACTTAAGCTTTCTTGGAGAGTGTGAAAGCTGTATTTATAGTTGAAAGAACTTAAGACCTGTAAGTTAAAATAGATGGGACTGTTAAAAATGTGCTTGAATCTATTATTTCCCTCTTTGAGGAAGTCTTACTTAGATTGGATAAGCAGCCTTTGTATGATGGAACTTTAGCTAGGGGTAGCAACAGCTCTTTACTGAACAGAATTCTTTTAAAATGGACATACTCTGTGTGTGCTAAGGGGAGATGTAGTTGTAAGGGTTATACTGAAGAACTTTTTGTTGCACAATGTCTACACCAGGTCTCTGATTCCATGTATCCAGCATGGTACTATAATAATGATGATGATGATGATAATAATAACAATAATAATAATAATAATAATAATAATTACGGTAGCTGGAGGCAAGGGTTTTTAAAGTATGAAATGATATGGAACAATTTGATATATAATTTGTGGAAAAATCACACAATTATGAACAACATTGATTCTAAAAGTTCCTCGTTGCTGTCAAAGTCATAATTTGCATCAAGTAACATGCTTTGTGCACGCTTTTAGCTAGATCTCTTTTTCACAGCATTATTCATGGTTGCTGCAAGTTTGGGGAAAACTCAGGGATATAAAAATTTCCTCAAGGTCAGGGAATATACATCTCTGAAAGAATTCTGGGAACATTTGAAGTAATTATCTTGCATTTTAATTGGACCCTTCATGATTAAGTTACGTTTACAAAAATTGAGAGATAATATATGCCCAACTTCTTCTGAAAGTTTTTATCCATAACTCTAGCTGTATGCATGTTTAACAGTCTGCTTTGGTGATAATCACTTCTTTCTATAGAAAGAAGTGATTATCACAAAAGTAGACTGTTAAACATTCAGTTTACAAGAACAAAAAAATATATGCCCAACTTGTTATAATGATTGGCTATATATCATCATAAGAAGTTGGGCATATATTTTTTGCATGATGCACAGTGATTGGTTGCTGTCACATTCTGTACTAAATAAAATGATGAATACTACAGAAAGAGAGACCTGTTGTTAAGCTACTCTTCTTAACAAGATCCTCAAGGGTCTCTGCAAAAAATAAGCATGCAATGTACTTCGCAGTCAGTTTGTGATGAAACCACTGGGAGACACAATTGATCTTGATGGCAGTTACATTATGCACTCCTCCATGATAAAAAGACTAAAAGACTAAAACTTAGTCCTAACTTATTCTCTTGAAGATACTAGTAAATTTGAAAATCCTAATAAAAGCCCCTACAATTTGAAAATCCTAAAAAATCCCCTACAATGTATCTTCAGTGCTCTTGCTTTCAGTGCTTCCTAATGATCACAACAGAGACAAAGCTGGAATAAATTGGGTAAAACTGACATGATCTTGTTACTGTTGGCCAAACAATTTGTCAACTAGAGATTCTTACATCAATCACTGTGTAACAGCTTGACAACTAATCTTCCATGGGCGGCATGCATGAAATGAAAAGATGATAATAATTATCATCTTTTCATTTCATGCATGCCGCATAATCCCATAAATAAATAAATCCCATAATAATTATTATAAATTAGTATAATTCACCAAATTTATCATCTGACTTCTGACTTTGTTGATTTGGTTGCTAATATTTGAAGTAAGTATATGTTTTCATCAGTTTAAACTTCTCTTACCTATTTTTCAATAGTTTATAGAATATTTTCGCCAAATGAATCAAACAGAGCTTCGCACCATCATCCTCTCCATGGATAACAACAGTGAATCTGTCAGTGACAAGATTTTTCTAGATGTACTTTTCTATATTTCTGAATTCAGAGATCAAACAAAGATGATTAACCCACATTATAGTTATAGTGATTGAAAATACATGATGTAAAATCTTGGATTGCAGAAAACAAAAATTTACCTCAATTTCACTGCATTTTGCAAGACAGGGAATAATCAAATGGTATATAACAATCATGCAAGTACCTGCACTGCACTTTCAACTGGATTCCAAATATCTTGAGCAGAGTATGCATCTAATTATATTACCACCTTAAAAAGTTTTCTTTTAGATAATATAGTCATTAACATAGTTTATTAATTAACATAGAATTACAGAAATACTCTCACTTATGAGCAGAGATTCTCAGTAAGTGTCTTTGATTTTGACCTTCAGAACAGTTTTGATACCAAAGGTACCTTCCCAGTGTTCAAAAGGAAAACATCATTACCTGATTCATCCCAGATCACTGGGATCAATCAGGTAATGATGTTTCCTTTCAGAAAAGATTATCATACCACAATTGACTTATTTTCTTAAACTACGTGAATTAAAAACTCAAGCCCTTGTGATTTCAATCACTTCCCACTTTTTTTTAAGAAAGAGCTGACATATATGAATATGATGTGGGTTCTTTTTTCATAAGATGAGATTGTTCAAAAGCATTCCGAAGTACTTGAACCAGTATATCTGCATGGTTTGAAAAATTTTTGTTTAACAGTCAGATTTCCTTTTTACAATTCAACTGTAGTTCATTAATTAGAAGAAATCCTTAAACAAATTATACATTAATTATCTCAACCCAGACAATCACACTACTTTTCATGGACTTTGCAGTTGAAATCTCATGCAATACAAAATGGTTAATATAAAAAAAAACCTTTCACCTTTAGGTATTTATTTATCATTCATAGGAAAATACTCATCAGATACAAGAGCTTACTGTCAGAAAAACCCTGATCATACCATTATTGAATTATTTTCTTAAACTACATGAATTAAAAACTCAAGCCCTTGTGATTTCAATCACTTACCATTTTTTTGAAGAAAGAACTGACCTCATTTTTGTCCAAGGTAAGATGGGATTGTTCAAAAGCAATGCAAGGTACTCCAACCTGCGAGTCTACATGGTTTGAAAAATTTTTGTTTAACAGTCAGATTTCCTTTTTAATTCAAGTGTAGTTCATTAATTAGAAGAAATCTTTACACTAACTATACATTAATAATCTCAACCCAGACAATCACACAACTTTTCACAGACCTTGCAGTTGAAATCTCATGCAATACAAAATGGTTAATATAAAAAAAAACCTTTTACCTTTAGGTATATTATCTATCATTCATAGCAAAATACTCATCAGATACAAGAGCTTACTGTCACTAAAAACCCTGAGCATGATAGAATGTTATTGCCTTAAATTTTTCACCACAAAGATTGTTACATTACAATTTACCTTTCTCAGTGCCCTCTGTTGTTGGTGTAACTACTGAAGACTTTCATCGCCATTTGAACCAGCAGGATTTCTATTCAAGAATAAAATCATTCCATCATTAATCAATGATCGGCCCATGTTGATTGAACTTCTTAACCACTGTCTTGATTGCTAAAAAGGTTAACTGTCCACATTATTCATTCTATATTTTACATTTCCCTTCTCATAAGCCTCGGGTGACTGTCGATGCGCCCACCGATAATTTAGGTTATCCTAAGGAAAATCAACAGCCACCACTAGCAGAAGGACACTCTTACATCATCCTTTGGCAAATGAAGGTGAAATTAAAGCTATGTAATAATTGAGTGAATATATAAACATTAGATGAATCAAAGGTTCTTTTATAGCAAATGCAAGTTCCATTGAACTGTCTACTTACGATCTTCTTTCCACTGGGCTCAGGTGATGATGGGAACTGGGGAGGTTGATCAATAGGGGGGTCAGAGCTCTCCTGAACAGGCACTATAAAGAGGTCAAATGGTTGATAATTTGAATGTTTATTTTTATGTTCAGTAGATATGAAAATATTCACAGAAAATTTTTTGATTATTCCCCATGATAGAACTTCAACTAATTTTCACTCATGGTGAGGTTTACACTGAGTCTACAGATGCATAATAATTGCAAATTACCCTTTCTTCAGCTTAACCCTATTTAACATGTTTCTTAACAAACTACATACATACTTCTCCCTGTAATATTCACACATTATCCAGCAGACAGGTAG